TTAGTGGGGACTGGGGAGCGACACCAGGTCATGACCGCTGACTCGACTCGACGGCACACGCACGTGGGGCGACGAGGCGCTGGTCGACTCGCCGACTTCCTCCGCCGCCAGCGGCCGTCGGTCTCCACTGTCGTTGCCGGTATGCAACAGAGTACGTAACGTGAACTAACCCCACGGACAAACGACGGGCTGCCTAGGCATACACGGCGCCGACTTCGTCGCCAATACTTAGAACCCCGTAGTTGCCGGTAGATACCGGTATCTATAGTACCGCGGACCGTCCCGAGCACTGAGGATGCCTGCCTACCTAACTACCAGACCTATCGATGGTGCGTCCGCCGCCGTGTGCGAGTCGCAGGGCACGTGGGAACGTGGGCTTTTCCCTGCGGAGGATATGCTATTGCCAAGGCCAGGCCAGCTGGCCGAAGGAAGGCTTGTCTGTCTGTCTGTTGCCCCACGTGTTCGTGTGCGTGTTCGTGTGCGTTGGTTCTGTTTGTTTGTCGTCGACAGTCGACACGGGGGCTCGCGTTCCGTAACTACATGTGTATATAACTAATGCTAATACGCTTTTGAGATGGACACTCCATCAATGCGGTGCTGCGCGGGCGTGTTTGCAGAACTCGTCTCTCCCCCTCCAGGGCCCACCCGGAGACTGAGCACGTGCGCTGGTTTTTCGGCATGGAGATGGAGATCGAAGAAAACTGCCCACGTTGCATCGCACGGAAGGAAGGATATCGTGGTGGCGCCAGTGGGGTGGAGGGGGAGACGGAGCAACTGCTACCTACCGGACTGGACTAGATGATAGCGATGACGATGATCCGTATAGCGAAGGACCTGTAGAGTAGATCGTGGCTGCGCCCGTATGTATGCGGTGTCTCGATGTCCGGCTCGATGCTCATGCAGCTGTCACCCACTCGTCACTCGTCACTCGTCGTCTCCGCACGCCGCCTGGGCGTCACAGGAGTACGGTAGAAGCCACGAGAAGATGACAGGACAAGACAGGACAGGACGGGGACGGAGCAGGCAACGGCAGCCTGCGGGGTTACCGTGGTGTTGTCAGCACTCTACTCTCGTAGTCGGCGGGTGCGACCGTGCGAGTCTTGCCATCGGACGTGGCGAAGAGCTGCCCTGCGCACGCCGGCTCCGATCGCTGCCATGGCCTAGGGTTCCGGAAGATTGCCGTTGAAGTACATAAGCCGTAAGTGTTAAGCCGTATGTGTATATGTGCTGTGTTGTGTGGCGGTTTCCGCACCTCGCCTCAAGGAGTCCACACGTCCGCACGTCCCAGTGTCCCGGTGCGTAAGTGTATTACGCCACGATGTCTGCGCTACCCGCGTGCCATCGGAACGCCAGGATTTTGCAGCCATGATAGGCTCTGAATTGGTGATGGGAGAATGCGAGAATGCGGAAGGGGGCGGGAGGTAAAGCTCGTAACATGGTGGATCACTCGTGCGAGTTGCGAGTTGCGAGTTGCGAGTCGCCATGCCACCAAGCTCGGCAACAGAGCATCGCCGTCCCCCGACCCCAGCTCGCGTACCAGAATCCCGAAGAAACGGTACTCTACGTCGACATAAATCAAAAATTCCATCATTGAAGAATCCGAAGGTGCTCCACCGCGCAGGGACGATGCGTCCTCTTTGAAGTGCAAAGAGGGAATGACCCCGGGGCTCTGCCGCTTGATGAGCTGATAGTGTGGTTTCAAGGTAGTATGAAGAAGAAGAAGAAGAAGGGAGGGAGGGAGGGAGAGAGGGAGCCGGGGGATGGGGGTTTTTTAACTTTTATAGGTATTCTGCGGTCACGAGATGTAGGTGATTGGACCACCGAGTGATGGAGTTGCGCCGCCGCTGCGGCGAGGCGGAAGACGTACTTCGAAAGTGAATCGATCGTGCCGCTCGAAATTCGAACTTCAGTCATCGCTCCATCTCATCTCGGCCCGCCAAGACACCGCCCAGCTCAGCTGTGGATAGTCTGCCGGAAAACCGGAGGACCACTGGGACAATATCCGGATTCCGGGGGCGCCAGTCGTTCCGCCGGATATCAGAGGGCGGCTTCTGTAATCCCTCCCTCCAGCCTCGGGCGGAGATACGCAGGTCTACTAGTATGTTATAGCGCGGTCACCACGCTTGGCCCAGCCGGTAATTGTATATCAGAGTCGTATGTACTTACATACGGAGGACGGGTCCTGTAGGAGTTGCAGCACAGTGGATCATGGTGGATCACTCGCAGATCGATGTGAGGAACGCGGATGTTCGCCCGGACGATGTCGCAAATCCTGGTACAACACTGAGAAAGTGCCGGAACAAGGACTTAGACGTAAGTAGAGATAATTAGGCCATCTCGAGCCCCTCAGACGCAAGCAACAACAAACTACGGTACCAGGGATGCCCGCAGGATCACACACCACAGTACCGGTACAAGCCTGGCGATATCTTGCTTAACTACCATACCAGGACTGAGCGGACGAGAAACCGTGTATTCAGAGTTCTTTGGCTGTAGCTGTGGGCCGCCATCGCCGTAGGCACACGGCTCGAGAAGGTGGGTGGAGCGATGCATCATACAGCTCAAGCCTGCGCCCGAGTATTCATGATGGCAGCGAGAAGAAACACCGGCCTCCGGTGCCCACAGCTGCGCCGTCGGCGACATGGCGGGGGGCGAAGGCGGGGGCGGTTGACGTGCCCACACGAGTGCGCCGGTCACCACGGGCTGCGTCGCGTCGCGGAGTCAAAAAATCTCCACACGTTCGTTTCAAGCACTGGCGAGCGAGCACGCACGCACGCACACACGCATCGTGAATGAGCAGAACCCCCCGGCCACCCGCCCCACCATATGCGCATACCACACTGGAGAGTTCATACTGGTCTCCCGGACTCATGAGTCGTGCGCGGGAAGAAATATCCCCCCCCTCCCCCCTCCCCCAGCAATCACACCATCGACCAACCGGTCTCCTCAGCGTCTCGCCCTCCCACCCTCCTCACCCTCGTAGCAACCCGGAAAAAAGTCTTCAGCGTCTCGAGCAAGAGGATTTCACGAATCACGAATCACAACGTCGGTCGGTCGAGGGATCGTCAGATCCTTTGCATAGGTAGGTAGACCCCACACGTACGCACCCACACCCACACCGACACCCACACCCACTCGCTGAAGCCTGAAGCGGTCAGCTAGCTGAGCCGTGCTGAGTTCTATATGTACCGAGAGGAAAAGAAAAGAAACGAAAAGGGTGGGTGGGAAGGGGGGTGAGGGGATATCACTCGCCTCCGCATCCGCCCCCCCAAAAAGTGAAAAAAGTGATCGTACATAGAAAAGTAGCGTTCGAGAGCATCATTCGGTACCTACGAGCCGCCGCCCCTGGGCTGCCCAACAGCGTGTAGACGGATAAGATCTCACGGCTATTCCCTCTGCACCTCCGATCCAGGGCGCCCCCAGGCCCCAGCAGCGTCGAACCAACACCCCTCGACAATATGCTGCAGCTGCCAAACCTGGCCTCATCCCAGGATATGCACATATAATACCGAACCGCGAGACTTCGAACTTCGAACTTCGAAGCTGCCGGCCAATGGCTCGTCGGAACTGAGCATCACATCGACAGCTCAGTGGAAGGACGGACAGACTGCATTGGCAGTTGCCGGTGGCCTGGAGAGGTTTTGCCGCCGTGACTGTGGGCTGGCCAGGACAGGACAGCATAACACTACACAACACAGTACACGAGCGTTAGAAGTTGGTGGTATGGAGGTTGTCTGTAGTTGCGGTTTGTGGTTCAAGAATCGGCTTACCTTACCTCACCTTACATTATCGTACATTATCGTACCTTACTTTACCGCACATTACCTTACCTTACCGCACAGCACGTACAGTTACCCCACGCTGTTGGATGATGAATCTCCCCTCCGTCTCGCCCATTGCTCGTAAGTTGTCTGGCATCTGCATCTCCCACCGTCCCACCGTCCAACCATCCCACGAGTCACCACCGCGAGTCACCACCGCGAATCACCACCGCGAGCACCGTGTGGAGAGAGTGGGCCGACGTCGCTACAACATTACCAGCGGCCCTGCGGGCGGTTAAACGCCGACTGCATACATTATGACATACCTTCGTACCTAGGCGGCCGTTAGAGCCCAGGGGCTCTGGGGGCCCTGCTTGCTGCTTGCTGCTGCTGCTGGAGGTGGTCATGCGGACAGACTATGTATGTACACTCTACAGTTCCCGAGGATTCGGGGTGCCGACCTCCAACCTCCGGGCTCCGCGAGAAGTCAGAACCCAGTGACGTGCACGCGGCCAGAATACTATATACACAATATACACAATATACACAGTGGCACGGGGGGTACTAGGTAACGGGTGCCTTTGCCGCAATAGCCATTTGCGTGTACATGCGCCTGGAGGCTGGAGCTTTCCGGGGGGATGGATACAAGCGAGCGTGACAGAACAGACAGCTGCGGGGAGAAACATTTCACAGCCGCTGCTTTTAAGTTGTTTGTATGCATGTACCGCCAAACAACCCTGCACTGCAGTGGTGGATTCAGCCGGTTCCCAACTTCCCAACTTCCCACAGAGATCGTCTGAGCCGCACGCCGGGGGCGCATTGGGTAGTGGGTGGGTAGGTATCTACATAGTATCTAGTATCGATAGTATGCAACGCAGCACACCAGCCATGTAGACGCCTAAGGCTTGCAAGTTGCTGCAGAGTTTTTTTCTCTTTCACGGCGAGTGGAGTGGCCCATGGACTATGCATGGGCTATGATTCGGCTCGGTGACGCACTGGCGCACTCACTCACCCCCGAGCACGTTCGCCCGCCGCTGCATCACGTATCTTCTCTCCTCTTCTCTACGCAACGGCTTTTTCAAAGATCGGCGCGGTCACACCCACATGCATTCACACCCACATACATGCACACATCCACAACCTGAAGAATTCCTCACGGCGAGTGTCGAGAAGCGGGGCCAGCTGCCGCTTGGAGCGTTGCATGCATATGGCAGCAGCAGCAGCCTCTGGCGAAGGTTCAAGGGCAGGGTCGTTCGGCTAGGCTTATCTGGGTGATACTATATGGCAATATCCATTCGGGTAAAATACCAAACAGTAGTAGTAGTAGTAGTAGTAGTAGTAGTAGTAGTAGTAGTAGTAGTAGTAGTAGTAGTAGTAGTAGTAGTAGTGGTAGTAGTAGTAGTAGTAGTAGTAGTAGTAGTAGTAGTAGTAGTAGTAGTATGTAAGAGGTATGTACTTATGCAAACATTCATGTCGAGTGCATGGTATGCAGCGCGTAGGAGGAGGAAGAGGGGGAGAGGGAGGATGAGGGGGAGGGAAAGCCTGAAGATTCCAACCGCTAGAGCCCAGCAGGCCGTGGTCGTGGCCGTGTAGTAAGATGCATACATATTACATACGTGTGTACATACTCTGGTAAGCTGCGAGACTCAGACTCAGAGTCAGCTCGTCCATCGGTGGACCGTATCCGGAGTGCTGCGTTGCGTTGCGTTAGAGTTAAGACAAGACAAAAACAAGACATCTCACTACCTACTACATACTGCCGAGAGCTGACTCTGCAGGACCGCGGGACCGCAGAGCGATAAGGTCTCGCTCGCCACGATCGATATCCGGCCCTCACTAGACGCTGCCACTAGATATGGCCAGAAAGCGGGTGCATGAGAGGGTGGGGATGGGGAGGAGCGGAAGTGCATGTGAGGTCTTTGCAGGGCCGGCAAGTCGAGAGGGTTCCTTCTGGATAGGTAGTAGATAGACTACTGCATCGTTCATGCGCAGGCCGAGGCGGGAGGGCTAGCTAGCTAGCCAAGGGCTGTAGAGTCGAGACAGTGGGCTTTTGGGCAAGCTTGCTGGGAGAATGAAAGATGCGCACCTGCCGGCTGTATGTGTGTACTATACTACCTATACGCGGATCCGAATCAATGATGGCCGGGTGGGGTAGGGAGAGACAGATCCCCCTCCTCAATGATGGCCAGCCTAAGCTTCTGCCGCTTGAGGGGCGGAATCATGAATGCCTGCCAATCCCTTTGTCCGCTCCCAGTAAGGATCTGCAGGAAAAAAAACAAGGTGGTTGCTATCGTCGAAGCGTCTATACAGCCAGCAACGCATTGGTGCGTACAGTGCATGGCGGGTGGGGGTAAACGGTCGCAGGACGGACAGAGACAACAGAAGTCCAGATCAGTGCACGAGCCACTACACACCGACGTAACCCAACCACGGTACCTACAATAGCCCGCACCAACATGAGCCCGTTCAGAGTTCTCCCTGTACATAGAGTCTAGACAGTAACCACGCAGGCAGTCTCTAATAATAATAAAGCTTCTCTGCCCACAGAGCCAACGACATTGATGATGGCGGCTATCTTGATTCTTCATGCAGGTCGAGTGATGGAATTGCTATTTTTGTACCCCACTTGTATGTAGGCAATGCCGCTGTCAGGCCTAAGGGCGCGAATGGATGGGTTCCGGGAGGGCGTTGTCTTGAGGGCCTGTAAGTGCGACGTGAGTGATTGGCCGTGATCAACGGCCGGCGTTTATCCGCTGCTAATTCGGGCCTCACCCCAGGATCAGGTGGGATGGCTTGGCCGATGCTATGCTATGGTACAATATAGCGATGTGTGAATTTTTTCTCTCTTCTTTCTTTCTTTTCGGTACAAAGAGAACTGCGAATATATACTGCGAATACTGCGAGCCCGTTCGAATTCCGACCGGAGCCAGGGCAGATGGCCGGGGAGAGCTCTCAGATCGGTCGCTCAATGAAGCCCGCTGCAGCACGTGCAAAAGACCACACACCCCTACCAAAAAAAAAATATGTATACACATGGAGCGATTCCCGGCTATCTGAACCGGCCCCGCATGAAAAGACGGGATTTCGTGCAGCAGCAGCAGGTGCTGCTGCTGAATGTCGGACCTGGTCGCGATCAATGCGTTGGATCATGGATGCTCGGTTCCTGGTCACGAACACTGTGCCATCGTGCTATCGTGCCGCCGATGCAGAGTATGTAGAGTAGATGTTAGCCTGCCTTCCAGGCCATTGCCGTTGCCGTTGCTGTTGGGGGTGTAGGCCGGGGGAAGGGCGTCTCAAAGATAGAGTATGTATGCCTCTGGCGGCAATCCCACGATAAGGATACCTGTATACCTGTCTAGGAGACTGGCACCTGCCACCAGTTGCGCCGCGCCGTTACTGTTACCACTCATCCGGTACCCGCCGTGACCATGACCATCTCTAGCCGTCTCCGTCAGTCTCTGTCAGTCTCGAATCAGCATCATCTTCGTCGGATCGTGTATTTAGATATCCCATGTTCATGGCCATGTTCATGTTCTTCTGGCCCCGGTGAGCTTCGAACCCCCCAAGCACGGATATGGCGCGCGCGAGAGCCTACTGTATATACCGTAAATACCTGTGTAAAGTGAACCGGAGCACATGAAGCCCGCGTTTACCTCCGATTCCTCCCCGTCCAAACGTCTCCTCAGCCTCCACCTCGCGCTCGCTCGCTCGCTCGCCAGCGGCCAGCAGACGCTGGCCGGGTTGGTTCGGGGGGGGAGGGGGGGGGGGGGGGGGGGGCTGGGGGGACCTTAACGCGCTCATGGTAGGCGAGCGACTCTGACTCTGTTTTGTACATTGCACATTACAATGGGGGCTGTTGACGCTGGGAGTCCAAGTCGGAGGGGGGGGGGCGGGGGGGAGGATAGATATGTCCACACCGATACCGGTACTCTGATAGCGATCTGCCACAGAAATATATCCCCGGTCCATGCGTGTGGGGCTCTGGAGTCCGTCTGGGATCATGAAGATCTGCGACTAGGGATCCGTTAGACCTAGGCAGAGTAGATAAGTGGTGTCTTGGGCTTTTGTGGAGGAGATGGGCCAATGAGGTTGCGTATGTGCAAAGGTACATACATAGAGTAGAGTAGAGTACATGCCCGCCGCCCACCGCCAGCGATCTATGTAGAGTTCCGGCCGGGGGTGCAGCGCATCGCGGTACGGTGCAGTGCGCAGTGCAGTGGAGTGCAGTGGAGTGCAGTGCAGGTGGCGTGGGACGCTACGATCGTGAGAACCGCTCAACACTAGAGTGGAGTAAAGCAGCGAAAGATGCGACTGGATGCGATTGGTATAGCTGGAGAACCGTATCGTCTTTAGTAGCTAGAATAGTAGAGTAGGTGGTAGTTGGTAGGACATGTGCTCCGATTGGAGGGCGGATGGTGAGCGAGAAAGTCTTTGATTCCCAGGATATACCGCAAGCATCGATTCGATACGAGGGCTTCCCGAGTACCGTACTGGTGATGCAAACTGGAATGGCCGGCCGGACGGACTACTACCGACTTATTAGGGCTAAACCTCTCTACTCCACTCTACCAAACGACATTCTCGTCGTCTACTAGCTAGGTTGGTACTTTTAGATACTCGAGTACATGTCCGCATGCAACATTTAGTTACATAGAGCCCTAGTAGTTGCATACCGATCTCTGCAGACTTTTCTGCTGGATATGATCATACTCTACATAAACAACATGTGCACAACTCGCACTCACTGCATGTGCTCTTGCAAGCTGTAAGTTGCAAGTTGCAAGTTGCAAGTTGCAAATTGCAACTGGCCTAGTGGCAACTGGCAACCCCCACCTGCCGCTTGAGGTCATAATTCTTAAAATAAAATCGAAAAGAAAAGAAAAAGAAAGAAAAGAGGAGAAAAGAAAAGAAGGGAAAATGGAGTTGGGCCAGACAGACAGGCAATCAGTGGTTCCTCTGGTGGTTAGTGGTCAGTGGTCCGGTTAACTCTGCGTTTCAGGTTGGGCGATCTATTTTTATGACACCTTCTAGAAGAAGCAGATACAATAGGGGGGACCTCCTGGTTGGCTGGATCGACTACTGGAAAGTTGAAACCGCAGTAGTTAGAGTAGGGGAGGGGCGCGGCGAGGCGCGGCGCGGCGCGGTGAGGATAGGCGAGGCGAGGGAGGTGAGGGGAAGGGGGGGAATTGGATGCATCACGGTTTCTGAAGGTCGGCTCTCTGAGAGTATAGGTAGTGTGTATGCAGAGTACATACTCTGCGATGCAGCGATGCAGCGCGGCACCGACACAGGCTCCAGTGCTCGTTTCGGCATATGCACGATACTAGGTGCTAGTAGGCAGAAGATAACTACCGGTAGACATCCGATCCAACGTCGCCGCGACACTGCTATGATACGGCGTTTTGTATGTTCGCCTCATATGTCTGTATCATAAGTACCCGTAGATAATCCTATCCCGAGTTACAGGTGACTCCTCCTCCAACTTCCAAGCGCAACATGGATCACGGGAAGTTGCGCGCGCCCACACCTTCTTCGATGGGCATCTGGTCCGGACTCCACTCCTCGTGATTCCACTCCACTCGTCTACCGTAGTTAGAGTAGAGTATCGCTGATGAACTGAACTCCTCGAGTCGTACATACGGGCGAGCCGTGTGCGGAATACCTAGATAATTGTTTCCACACGTGACGGCTCCGGAGAGAGTTGATATTTTGCCGTGCATGTGTACCTATGGTTACTGGCGACGGGTGCATATTTAGCAAGCCCATGGCCAGGTGCGCGTCTCCGAAGTTGACTAAACAAGTGATGTGTGGCCTGTCATTCGTCGGAGGGTGTACCGTGTTCCTCGATCATGGCTTGGGGCGCAGCTGGTTGGTTGGTTGGCTGGTTGGTTCATTCGCTTTTCGTACAGACCATGACCGGGTTGTTTCGCGGCATGATGATGCTGGTGGTGATGATGATGATGGTGGTGGTGATGTAGGTGGCTAGGTAGGGTCATCTATGGTACCGCCTGCAATATTAGCTGGTGGCGTCTCCGGGATGGTGGGTAGAATATACGGCCATCGCCGTAGAATGAAGGACGGTGCAAACATCGCTGTTTTGTGCATCGCAATTCCACAGCTGGCAACCATGTGGCAACCAAGGGACTCGAGCGCGCACTCTCTCCGTTGTGTGGGCGCGCGCACTCTCTCCGTTGTGTGGGCGCGCGCGTCAGTCCCGAAAGCTCGTAAGGCACCTGTAACTACTCGGGCCCGTATGTAACCAACAGAGCCCCTCCTCCTCCTCCGTCGAACGGAGCTCTTACTCTCCGCTGCGTGTGTTTCCTTCCCGAAAGCGACGGAATCCGTAAATACTCTCTCTGCACGAAGCGCGCGCCGCTCATCTGTGTCTACTCTAGATACTCTACACGAACCGACAGGTGACGGCCGACCCACTATGTTCCACCGTAATGTCCATACCGGACGCCGGGTAGGGTACTCAATGGCTCCTCCCAGGCACCCATCCACGGCGTAGCAATCTCCCAATCTCCCATCTCCCAATCTCCCAATCTATCGCTCGAACGATGGAGCTCGTTCGTTCGTTCGTTCTAGCCGCGCGGTCTTGGGCTGGCCACATAGTAGATGATCGAGTGACCGTGGCCAGTCAGTCGTCAGCTGGCACAGGGCTGTGCCGAACGAACGAACGAGTCGCGCAAGGACTCGTATGACAGATGGACAGACAGACAGACAGAAGATGGATGAGAAGGCTGAGCCTAGGCGGGGGAAGGTTGAGGAAGAAGGGTGACCGCGGCGACCTATCCACCCATCCACCTACCTACACGCTAGGGTGGTAGAGCACTTTACTCTATGAGTAGATTGTGGGATCCGGGGGAGGGGGGGTGTGTTCCATAGGATGAATTTCCCTCGACGCCACGGCAAGTTCGCGACCCACTCGACCCACACCCACCATACGGCGATCTTTTTTTTGGTAAGTTCCCCCAAAGTTCGGACTCTTGATCCTCGAGTGGAATCTGGGTAGGTAACTACTATTACCTACTACCATATGCACGGTAACTAGAGTAATACCTCGGATCCTCGCTCGCCGGTATGGTACAGTATGATACGGTACTACTCTATGTACACGCGCCGATTTGGTTCGAGATATCTGACGAGCCGACGAGCTGACAAAACCCGCCAGAGAAGTCGGTCTCGCTCGGACAATGCTATCATAGAGTAGTAACGGCCCCCCGAGGCCAGCCATCCGACTCTCAAACGTGGAAGGCCATCACATCGCAACTCGGCCGCCCCCGTCCTGGCATCTGCCGGTCCCGATCTTCACCTTCTTTCCCGCTGGTCGAGTGCGAGGAGGAGGAAGTCGCCCTCCCTCCCCCCCCCCAACTCGTACTTGGACCGGTTGGGTACATAGGCGCCGGCGCTACCATAGAGGGCCCCAGTGCTAGTTGCTAGTTAGTAGCGAATTGCTGAGACAGAGATGATGGCTGTCTCGCATACCGAGTAACGGGTTCGTGGGAAAGCCCCAGGCTAGCCGGATACTGGAGACTAGGTCAGTAGTGAGTAGTAGGCACTCTACTCGATACACTTCTCACTCTTACTACAGCAGAGTACTGACATAGCCATCAGTTCTTTTCTTGTCTTCGGTGCGTGCAATGTGTGCATGCATACCGTATGTATGTAGAGCACTCTATCATACTTTACGTTGCAAGGGCATCCGATGCATGTGTTTCGAGTATCGGCACGGCTCGTCTGTAACCATTTTTAAACGGGATGCATCTCCTACCGTACTCTTCACAACTTGACACGCGTTTCAGAGTTGCCCTCCCTTTCCTCCAACCCACGTTTTGCCTTCCCCTGCCCTGAGTAGTACCCTACCATCCCCCCTGGCCGCCGGATGGGAATAGTAGCACCCCGCATAAACAGATCTCTGGGGCGCACGCGAGCGGAGTTGGTGGAGTCGCCTGGTGGGTTTGTACCTGTGTGGTGAAGTAGCAGTAGTATGATAGTAGTTGTAGCAGTGACTAGCAGTAGCGACGGGGCGGACCTAACTACCAGCCAGTGCTCTATTGGTACTTCCCCGTGATGGCAATGGTGCATAGCAGCTATGAGTAGAAGGCAATCGGGTGTCAGGTACCGTAGAGGGGAGGTCGTGGTCGTGGGCCAACAGCGTAACGACACACACACAGACACACACACAGACACACACACACTCTCTCACCAACCCACAATCACCGCACACACACTCCCCCTCTCCGAGGGAGATCTCGCCTTTGCCTTCGTGTGCATGTCGCTTGACTGTCATGTGCGGAAGCCGACGCAAGATCTGTGTCGTTCTGCTGCGCGAAGAGTTAATAATAAGAATAAGAACGACAACGAGTGCAGGGCACTGACCGTGGCGCAAGTGCAGCGGCGGGCGGCTTGAGCCTTGAGCCAACCGCGAGCGATTCCAGTAATCGGCCTTCCATCGCTGGCGGGCTGTGGTGCTTGTCCTCCTGGCCCTGACCCTGGCCCTACCCCCCGGTCGCCCTGACCGACCGGCCTGCTCGCTCACTCCATGTCTTTTTTGCTGCTGGCCATGGCATGGGCTGCGCTGCACTGTGGCTCGCGCTCGCCTACCACAAACCGTGCATGCGCGCGCATTTCCGGAGCGAAAACCCTCCCTGGTAGCGGATATGAAAGTGAATGGCCTGTGCTACAACCAGTCTCCAGCCAGAGTTCCCTTTTAAATACATATAATGTTGCCTTCCCTCCAACCCCCCCTCCCTCCCCTCCCAATTCCTACTCTCCCCACCATCGACGTCCCGCCGCTCCATCGACTACCCCCCCTCCCCCCTCCCTCCTCCACCCCTCCTCCTCCACCCCCCCACACACCAACAACTACCCCCAGGCTTTCACTAGTCTATGTTGAACGCTGCTTCGGTCCTTAAAGCTTCATCCATCATCCATTCGCTATATATATAACAATCAGTATAGTTTGTCCCGGCCCAGCAGCAGTCGATCGACCGTAGCAACAACTCCCTTCGCTATAAGCGACGTCGCAGCCACCCGCTACCACTACCACCCGCTACCCACAACAAACATCCGTTTCTCCCAACCGTTCCTCGAAACTCCATCGCCATGCCTGCCCGACCAAGTCCGCTCATCACGAAAGGCCACGGCATCCTGCCTGGCTCGTCAAAGCTGTCTCCCTTTTCGCCGCTCCCATCCGAGCTACCCAGAACACCCATCGATGGCCGGTTCGACGCCCTCAAGAACGCCGACGACGCGCTGAAGACACCTATCACCCCGCCGACCGCATACACCGACTTCCTGAAAGCCGCCATGAACTCCCCCGCCGTTTCGTCGGCGCCGCCATCCAGCCTCCCCTACTCGCCTGCGCTCTCATCGGGTTCGTACCGTCACAGCGGCTACTACACCCCCGCCACGCCCTATTCCGGTATCAGCATTCGGAGGCGACGCGGCGGACTGCCGCCAAGCCCGTCGAGCGCGAACTCGAGCCCGTCCACCGAGGGGCCCAGGAGCGCGCGATCCACCAGAAGCTGTCCCGACGACGACGACGACGCTGAGGAGGAGGACCGCGCGCAGCTGTCGGATGGCCGGGTCATGGTGAAGCAGGTGGTCACCACGACAGTTACCTATACGCCGCGGATGAGTCTGCTGCCTGCGCCCAAGGGCAAGCGACGACGGATAGCGTAGTGCGGTCATCCGCCTTTGTTTTTTTTTTTGGTTTTGATTTCTCTGTTGAAAAATCCGGCTGTTTCTCTTTTTTTTCTTCTTCGATTCGACTTCACTTTCTCTCGACAAATATCCATCTCCTTTACGACATTATTCCACTTTTTTTTCACGACACATTCGGGGGCAATCTTCTGGCGTCCTGATCTTACTCTTGCGTTCTTTTTCTCTTTTGATTTTACTGTTTTGTGTTTTTGTTTTTTACTGTTTCTTTTTTCAGGCGCACGAGTCTTGTGTTTTTTTGCCATCGTTGTTCTATTGTCTTATCATTTTCTCGCAGTCGAGGGAAGGGGACGTACCTACCAATTTCTCACCACACACACACCACGATTACAAACACACACCCTCCTACAAACACACAAACACACACACAACTACCATCCTTTCGCTATTCTTCCCGACGGCCGAGGCGAGACGGAGGGGAAGGAAAGCGGCCCACATCAGTACGACCGACGGACTCGTGGGGTTGAGGATTATGTTCTTTAAAGCGCTCGATTCGCTTGGATTCTTGTTGTTCTCTTCTGTCCGCCACTCTTGATTACTACTACTCTCATGTACAGATTTTTTTTTTTGCAGTGTGTGTGTGATGTGTGCAGGTGTGTGTGGATGGTAGGAGTGGTGGTGGTGACCTCGGTGGGATGGGATGTAAGCGGGCTGGCCGAGGTGGACGACGGCGACGAGTCGGCCCGCGAAGGAAGGGATCTATTGGGATTGGGGATACTAAAGAGCAATACCACTTGCCCATTATTACCTTCTACACTTTTTCTCGGACGTTTCCTGTGATCATCAAACCGTGAATCCGACCGACCGACAACCTCCATTTTTACTGTTTTGCTTTCCGTGCGGACAGAAATGGTGTGGGGGGAATTCGAAAGTCTCGATGGATTCCCTTCTTTATTTTTATTTTCCATTAATCTTTTATTTTGTTTTAAAGATTAACCCACCACCCCCCCTCCCCCCCCCCCTCCCCCCTCCCCTCCCCTCCCCTCCCCACCCACCCACCCACCCACCCTCCGTTGTTGTTGGTGGTTGGATTATGTAGTTGAGTTGAGGCTCCTACCGCCCGGAACCACCGCGTCGGGCTCGCAACTTGCAATGTGCAAGGGTGTGTGTGCACAAGTGTGTGTCCGAGTGTCGGAGCTGGGGGTATAATTAGCACCCAACTAGCAGTCTAGCACCCCCCATCCTTGTCTGATCCTGGCTGATCCTGGCTGCTGGTGGGATGCTTGTGGGAAGCCTGTGGGGGACGGGGCGACGTGGGCGCTTAGCTGACGAATCGGTGCGCGCTGCCGCTACTCGATTTCGCCTTTCGCCTTTTGTAGAGTATCGACGCCGCGGCGAAGAGGAGGAGGGGGGGAGGTTTGTGGCGATTCATACCCCCCCTAGGGCGGCGTCGAGGTGAAAGTGAGGGAGAGGTTGACGTTGAGGGAGAGGGATACGATACTTCACTGTGACGTGCTGTGCTGTGCTACTCTGGTGTTGAGGATTGTTTCGAGTGATGTTGCTGGCTTTGTCGGTGTTGTTGTTGCTGCTGCCGTTGCTATTACTGCCACTGCCACTGCTGCTGCTGCTGTCGTTGTTGCTATTGTTACTGCTGTCGTCGTTGTTGGGGCTGAATCCACTCCCTCCACTCCCTCCCTCCACAGCACTCCCTCCACTCCACCACACTCCGTCCCTCACTCCTCCACTCCCTCACTCCCTCACTCACTCCGTCTATCTCTCCAGCAAAGAGCAAGGATCCCCAGCGTGCGGCCGGGGTGCTCGCCGCGGTCCCCTGCAAGACGTAATATATATAGGCGCCCAGCGCAAATTTCCCTTTTTTTTTACACTGCCCCTCGAGGAGTCGAGTCCTTTCAATTTACTCTGTGTACCTGCTATGCACGTGGTGTATGCAACGACTGACTGAGCGACTGAAAGAAAATCGAGGGGTTTTCTTAAAATTAAAAAACTGTTGTTATTATTGTTATTATTGTTATTATTTTTATTATTGGTTTTGTTATTATTATGGTTATTATTCTTATTATTGCGGGGAAGGAAAAAGGGTTTTGCTTTTTGCTTTTGGGCCCGCGTGCCCACTCGCGTGCCCACTGCCCACTGCCGGGGCGGAACCGGTGCCCGAACACGAAGAACAAGCAGAAGAACAAGAAGACGAAGAAGAAGCGAGAGATACCTAAACGCCGAGTGCGCGAGCGAGCCGGCAGGCTAGGGTCGAGAACACGGGAGGCACACATAACTAACGCTGATCTTCAGGATGGTATGTAGTAGGTATGCTGTGGCAAGTGCAAGTGCAAGTGCATCGTGCTGCCCTATGCATTGACTCAAGAGTACGGTACGGTATGTGGAACCTAGATACCTACTCTACATATGTACCCACGGTTGGAGACTCGGAGGTCCACCTGCTTGCTGCATGAGGGGTTTCTTCTTCTTTGCTTTGCTTTTCGCGTTCACTCATTGTCTTCATCATCCTCCTCCTCTTCGATTCCTCGGTTCCTCGTATGTATGCGTGTGAATGTGTGAATGCGTGTATGAATGTAGAGTATGCGGGTAAAAACCATAGATCCGATTGAAACCTGTGATCATCAAGCCTCCCGGATAGAGTGTAGAGTGTAGAGTGTAGAGAGAGTACTCTATATATGTGTGTGTGACGGATCGAGCGTCTCCGCATACGAAAGTGCACCTGACTCGGCTGAAGGGTTGTTGGGTTGGGTTGCCGTCCGGTTGTTGTTGTGTTGCAACTCGAGTCCATTGTAGCGTTTTGCTGCCCATGTGCGGGCGCGGGTGCGCCTTCCAACCGGAAACATTCTTCTAGGTGACTGGAAGGGACGGAACGGTGGTGTTGGACGTGCCGGCGGCGGCGGCGGCGTATGCATTCCCTCCACGTCGTGGGCGGCCGATGAGCGGACGTCGTATCCTGCGCCTATCCACCCACCCACCCCCCGCGCCGACGAGTGAGTGAGCGAGCGAGCGTCCGATGCATGCGATTGCTGCTGCGGCTGCTGCTGCTGCTGTGTTGGCCCATTGTTCTTCTGCTGCTGTTGTTGTCGTCGTTGCTGTCCCGACTGAAGGCTCGTAGACTCGCTGCAAGACATCCCGCATACAGATGGCGTCATGATAGCTCACCACTGTGCTGGAATCGGGTGTGGTGGTGGTGGTGGTGGTGGTGGTGGTGGTGGTGTGGTGCAACGAAAGGTACTGGTACTTTGTCGACAGCACTCACGTGCTGCCTATGCGGTACGTATCGGTGCATAACTCATACAACGGATTGTCGAGAAATGAATGCGACGCCGAAGATCAGCCCAGCGAACTACGGCGAGGTGGGTGGAGAGCGATAGCCAAGACCGGACTGGACCCGTAGCAGCCTTGTTGGGGAGGAGCTCGCTCTAGGCCGAGGGTGAACGGTTACGCATGAGTAGGTAATCTCCCCAGGTCCAGGCTCCTGTTTATTTGTTTGTTTGTTTGTTGGGGCGCGGGTGCGGCGCCGATGGCCATAACTACGGATATCGATTGGAATAGTAGATACAACATCGTCGGCGACGTGCGATGCGGTACTTATCGGTGGCTCCGTGATTGCGGCAAGTGCAGTCAGGTCTCAGCGATGGATGCGTGTTCGAACTTCGAACTTCGACCGAGGCTCAGGGCTTCTGGCACACGCGATGTCACTCGGTATGACTGTGTTGCGCCCTGTTGGTGCCAGCTGGGATCCATGTGCACGTGGCTAGCTGACGGCGGTAAGTTATCGTCGGTAGATACTTGGCTGCGCTCGTATAACGGCTGCGTGTGTGGAGGTGTTCCTATGCATCTGTTGGTTTGGGAGTAGTTGCGTACCGCCGAGCCCGGTAATGGCACTTGCGGAACCCACCAATCAGCCCAACGCAAGGCTATAGCTGAAAACGGGTAGCGAACGGCTGTTGGGGTGAAGCGGCCAGCAACAAGCGATGTTGGGCTCACCGCTCACCACGAATCACAGCGCTCCAGAGCACATGAGCTTCCTAGCCTAGCACCTGCCAGACTTTCCCGTGTTTAGACTATAAATCCTCCCGGTAGAGTAGCCCCTAGCTTTGTAACAACCCGACGGAGAAGGCAGATAGCTTGGGATTCTCGGAGTGCGAACAAACACGGGCTAGGTATGTTGCCGTCATCATTTTATCCGATCCATCGTAACGGACCTGATTGCGCTGCGTGTTGCGATCGAGGGAGGAGCGAGAGGGAAAAGACCGCTTCGAGCCACCAACATCTCCATACGTCGTCCATATGCACCGTGTGCTGCGCGGGGAAGATAACCGTTGATCGGGAGCAGCAAGTCGAGACACGGCCGGACCATGCTCGGTTGGCTTCCCTGGCGCCGGAGCCGGTGTGGCTGGTGAGTGTTATACTGAGAGACCCACGATCGTGTACGAGAAATGTAGAACGCGATTCAACTGAAAAAGAAAGAAAAGAGGTCTATGAACTTTTGGGAATATCTGTGGTGTTGAACAACAGAGGGACCGACAATCAGAACAGAAACACAGCAACAGAAAACATTTCAACGTTCAACGTTCAACGACCGCATCGGGTCTCTCCTCCATAACACTTGGTTCTACCATATCCCACAAGGTCCCTGCAAGGTCTCTCCCCCCAAGTACAAGGTCCCTCCCGGGTCTCGTCAAGCTCTCCTCTCTCCAACGCTCACCGATGATGCCAAGCCCCCTCTGCCCCCGATTGTTCGGCCGGCGTATGTAAGCGGCTGCCCGGCTGGGGTATTCGAGCGGCTGCGCATCCGAGTTCTAGTGGCACGCCGCTTTTGTTTCATCATTCTTTACTCGACCGCATCCGGACCGTCTGGTCATGACGGATTTAAGTATGATGCATATCCACGGTCTGTTTCCTGGTCGCGCTGGTCACCAAGGCAGCTAGGTAGGCCGACGGGCGTTCAGCACGCCACTTTTTTTTTGTTGTTTTGTTTACCTTGATTGCATGCGACCTGTCTAGATTATGGCAATACACACAAACGCTCCGTTTCCATGCCGCTGTCCAACCCGACTTTCATCGAGCGGCACGATGTGATCATGTGACTTCTCCTGCCCTCGGCCCTGGCCTGTCTTAACGATGGAAATAGAGTGTACCGAGGAAATAATGCTAGGAAAAAGACAAATCCCCATTCCGCTTCATCGGGAGATGTCATGAAGGAAGGTGTGGGCGGGGGAGGAATAGCGGGAGTGGCCCCGGCCCCTCAACCTCTGCGTCCTCCTCTCGCCTCCTCTCCCTACCTTCCCTCCCGCTCCCTCCCGCTCCTACAGCTCTCACTTGGACACCTCACCTGCTGCATCCACCCATTCAGGCTTTCACACACCACTTCGCACCCCGAATCCCCGATCAGATTCGGACCGACGACGAGTGACATTCTATGCGCCACCCTTCCAAGCGTGGCCAGGAACGCTCGGGACAACCACCACAGTCCGCACCCGTGATCCCAAAAGATTGCTCGACGAGATACAAGCCTCTTTTTTTTTGCGTAAAAGCCGCCGGGAAGTGGTACGCACTGTGGCAGGCACCACAGGCCACACACGTTTTTCTGTGGCTGTTGTGTCTTTACGGCGGCGATGCGGCGATACTACCATGATCACCACCGTCGACGACGGCACTTGGAAGGTACGAACGTGACTGCAAAATTTTACCAATGCGAACGCGAAATGGGCACGCCACGACGCATACCGTACCGCTCCGCGAGCGTTAGCGGCGTTGCAGTGAAATCCACGCACCCTCCCACCGTCACCGCTACCGTCAGCGTCACCATGGAGGCCACGACGAGCATCCCGATGACGTAACAGTTACCGTACCCCACCGTAGTTAGAGCCACGAGTTAATTCGTATTCCACCGCGTCGTGTCACGTGTGCGCTCCTCTGGGGCTCATGGACGCGGCTGGAGGTCTGGAGGTCTGGAGGTCTTTCAGCACGGAGCGCGTGCTTGCTTTTTCGCTGCCGATGGTGCTGTAGGTACTGTACTATTTGAGGCCGAGTATCGAGGGAAACCGTCGTTGCCGCTCACCCGCATGTATGCACGTACGGTACCGGTAGGTATAGGAACTCTTGTGGACGAGGGGGCGGGTGGGCGTAATTGAGAGTCGGAGAGACCAAGCTAAAGTTAACTCTGTGCCTAGCATCATCGCGGGTCACTTGGACAAGTACACAACGGAGCAGAATTCCTGTGCTCTCGCGGTTTCTTAAAAAGAAAATCATGCCGTGTGCGGCGATATACTGGTGTCCTATCTCTCTCTCGGTTTCCAAGAAATTCGGGAGGGAAGAGGCGCCCGTATTCCTCCTCTCGCGCCCAGGGGATAGTCGTCACTGCGAGTAGCTAGCAGATGAATGTAAGTCAAAGACGGTCCGTTGACTGCGGTACGATGAGGGCGAGGGAAAGAAAGGAGGCTGAATGAGAGGTCGCAGAACTAGAACAGTCACGGAGGGAGACGAGGAACTACTAGTAGATGTGCTGATGGCAGCAAGCGGGGTGGACCGGGCTTCGATTTCTTTCCTTCTTATGTGTACATTTACTTTCCTTGGACGATCAGGAAGAGGGCCGGGTGGAGAGCAAAGGGTAACCCACATCGAGCTTGCGACAACTGCAGTGGGGAGGATTGAATGAACATGTAACTGCCATGATCTTACCAGGTCCAAGAAGTTTCCAAGAATCCTCGTTCTCAGCCATAATAATAATGCAATTCACTTCTTCCCAAAAACGCCTCTCCAAAGCAAAACTACTACTAGTACATAAGTCGTTGTACATACAAAAACCTTCATACATGATACCTACACGAGACAAGTCCCACCCCGAACGGCCACCCACTTATCTCCAAGTCTGCGCCGGCATCTCGTGTATCGAAACCTGATGCATCGGCATCGGCTGCGCGCCCTGTGGGTGATACCCGCCGTAGTAGGGCTCTTGCGCCGGCGGCTTATAATCCGGACCCGCGGGATACGCCTCTGCGTGCCCGTGCCCGTGCCCATGCCCGGTGGGCATCTTATATCCCGGCGCAGGCGACATGTGTGCCTGGTACGGCAGTGTGACCTTGCTATCCAGCTCGTGGAGCTGGTAGTACTCGCCCGCCTGTGGCAGCTCCGAAGCAAACTGTGTCGGCGGACCCGTGGTCGTGGTGGTGGCGGGAATCCGGTCCGTGGGCAGCTCCTGGCGGCTGTAGCGGTTCGTGGGCGCAAGGTTTGCGAGACGCTTTTTCTCGCGGCGGCGCCGCAGCAGAATACATGCGAGGATGCCGCCGAGGACGGCGGCTACGGCGGCGCCGCCGGTAGCGGCCGCGATCAGCGTGATCGGTACTCCGCCTTTGTCGTCGGAATTTGAGCTGGTTGAGGTGGAGGTGGAGGTCGAAGATGGCGAGGAGTTCGAGGTTGTCCGGGCCGCGGCCAGAATGCTGGTGTTGGTGATGGGCGCGTGGTCCGAGCCCCAGCTGACGATCTGGGTCTTCGCGTACGTGTATTCGGTTCGATTGACCGCCTTGATGCCGAAGTACTCCTCGTCGTAGTCGACCCATAGGTGCAGCGCCGCCATCACCGCACGGCCGAGCACGATGGGCTCATTATCGTCTTTCAGTGCGCGCACGGGAAGTACGGGCAGATTGTAGTTCGACCCGTATATCCACCAGCCCGTCTGCACCCGGAAGAAGTCGAGAAAGGAAATGCTGATCTTCTGGCCAGTGATGAGGATCAAGTCCAGGCTCGCGGAGCGACTGTTGTCTTCCTCAACCGTGCAATCGCTGAAACAGGTGGTGAAGGAGTAGGCGTCCATGCTGTCGTTCCACGTTGCACCGGCCATGGTGACGAGCTTGTCAACGCTCTTCTGTGGGAGCCAGAGGTACGGCGTCGTGGTGTCGATCACGACCGCGTGGGAGTCCTCGAGGAGAGAGTTGTCGGTTTCCCCCGTGTCAGTCCACCGGTAGATCAAGTCTTCCAGCTCCGTCTGGATTTTCCCATCCTCTCCTAGTCGGTACTGCTGCGTCTGGTTTAGGTCGAATGCGCTTCCATCGTAGCCCCCGAAGATGAGTAGGTGTTCCTTGCGGATGCTATTTTCAGCGGGAATGCTACTTTCGTTCGATTCCACGCTCGGTCCCAACCACATGTGAAAATTGTTCCCCGGTGTAGCCCCAGCCTTGAACAGCTCCGACGATATCTGTGGAAGACTCAGGTAGCCGTTGAAGTTTGGTTTCTCGGTTGTGAACACGCCGATCGTCAGGTCCTCTCCCAGGTCGAACGATCCAGCGTTGGAGGATTTCACCGTAATCTTCTGCTTCGAAACTTTGCCCTTCCCGCTCAATGAAAGCGGCGACTGGGAGTCCTTGTCTTGCGCAGGAAGTAGCTTCGATTCGGGGTATATCTCCCCCAACTCTTTTGCGATGCCGGAATCCACCCCGTCGATGGTGCTCGGAAATTCGCCGCCCAGTGGCTCCCGACAAGCGGTTTCGTTGGAGGCACTCGAGCAGAGCTCTGCGCCTGGAATCCAGGAGTGTTGGAGGGAAGTTGACAGCGTAAGGTTGACGTTCGTGGAGCCTACGGTGAGCGGCGTCGAGTACCATATGCCCCCGGGACCGATGCCATACCTGAAACTGTCAGTATGGGTGGGCCATCTTGAAGGGGTAATGTCGATTTACTGTTTGCTTAAGGGTAGCATTACGGGCTTTGCCTTGATTGCGGCGAAGGCTGGGAGAGCGCACGAAAGGAGAAGGAGATGGAGTAGTCCATTCGGGAGTACTGAAGACGACATAGCGATATAGGTATGATGATATCACACGCCAGACGATGAATTAAAGGCTCAAAGAACGTTGGGGATATCGTAAAAGAGGATAATACGGTTTGACTGGCCGTGAATGAGTGAATTGACTGGGCCGTGAATGAGTGAATAGTGACTGATGGAATGAATGAAGGAATGAATGGGCGCCGGTCATCAATGACCCGGTGAGACAAGGGGGAAAAGGAATGGTAACTTTCCGCAATTAACCACCGATACTCCGGGTAGAAAACGAACGTACATACGGCCCCAGAACAGTGTCGGTGAACAGAAGAAGAGAAGGTGAAGACTCATCAACAGCAGAAGAGCGTTAGTGAAGCCCCCCCATGTAATGATCCACCGCTGGCCCCCATTCCTAGTGAAAAAGGGGCGCACGGAAGGCTGCGCATGTGTGCCTGGTAGGTGGTTCACAGAGGTTCCTCGGCGATCCTGCTACATGAGGTACCGATTTTTTTGACTCAGGGCAGCTCAAGGCAGGGCTGAAGCCGGGATTGCCATTGGGTAGACTAACGAACACGAGAGTAAAACCGGCAATTGCCTAGGGAAATCTCCCTGATTAATCTACGGGCACGATTGTGTAACGACCAGCTACTTACTCTACTTAGCGGCGATTGAGATGTTGGCACCATGGTTACCTCAAGTGCTTTATATCGGTGATATGTAACTGCCGTCAGTGGCTTTGCTATTAGGTTCGTGCGATTCTCAAACCATGACTACATTACATGGTCTCCAGTTCTTCAAACAATCCATCTTCCGCATTGCATCCTTCTCCTTCGGCGGGCGTCACAGTCTTATGAACCTTTCACGATAATGGCCCTAAACACGCCAGACGCCCACCCCTACACATCTCACTCAGCCATGCTGGAAGCTTTTCAAACTTATTCCTATTGCAACCACGTCTCCGCCTAAGATTATAGTACAAGGTGCCCTGAAATTCTTCCTCTAACCCTTTATGCAACAGACGGAGCAGTAAGGAGGTTTCCACCGTCCACATAAACGGTCAGCCCGTTCACGAACACTCCACCAGGGCCGGCCAGGTACAGGATTGCTGCAGCCATGTCCTGTTCACTTCCCGTGCGGCCAGCCGGGATCCCATCCGCCTTCCCAGTACCCTCAAGCGAACTCTTTCCCGCCTCGTCACTCGAATCCGCCGTCATCTCGCTCGGGAAGATGCCAGGCGCGATCGAGTTGACCCTAACCTTGATTTCCTTCAACGTGGTCGCCAGATTCCGTGTGAGTTGCAAGAACGCAGCTTTGCTAGCCGCATAAGCGAACTGCCCCCTGCTGCTGTTCTTCATCACGCCGCTGATGGATGCGATGTTGACGATGCTGCTGGAATAACCGGGGGTGTTTTTCGTTCCCGCAGCGAGCAGGGGGACGAAAGCGACCGAGGTGAAGTACTGCGCCGTCACGTTCGTTTCGAAAGTCTCGGCCCAGCTCTCGCGCGTGGCCTTCGCCAGGTGCTTCGCGAGACTGTCGGCATTCTTGAAGTCAACGTCGGCGGTGGAGAAGGAGGTCGTCTGCTTTTCCTTCGCAACACCGGCGTTGTTGACGAGCAGGTGGATGCCTTTCGGCTCGTTCTTTCCGACCTCGGCCACTAGCTTCTGGACGGACGCCTCATCGGTGATATCGGCCGCCACGGGAATGATCTTGCCGGGATACCGCTTCGCCACGTTCTCAAGGTCTTTCTCGCGTCGGCCAGTGATGTACACCTTTGCACCGTTCGTGGCCAGCGCCTGCGTGATCATCAAGCCGATTCCGGTGGCGCCTCCGGTAACGACGGCGACGTATGTCTGGGGGAAGGAGAAGAGGTGGTTGGCGGTCAGGCGGTCGGCCCCAGGTGTTCCGGCGGCGTTTGACATTTTTCTGGAGAATGCAGTGGTCGTGGGTTTTGTGAAGTTTTTGGTAAGGGTTGGACGCAGTGAGCTCGAGAGACGGAATACGAAGTTCATTGATAGCGACGAAGGAAGCGGAAACGAAGAGGGGTATAAGTACACACTGGAGGGGCATTGATATGTTCGTTACATGGGGATTTGAAGATCGTAAACGTCATACTGATCTCTCTAGTTACACGCTTCGACACCGGGAGGATCGAGCGGAGAGGGCTCTTGAGGAAAATTCCCCGATGATCGCTGGGAGCAGTTCACGTCATTAGCCGAATCCGATGCGCGAAGTGGGTCCTAGCCGTTCCAGCCGAATCGACGTCGACTGGCGATCATTGCGGAAGTCAATGCATAGGTCAATCGGATTTTGGTAGGCGCGGTCACATGAAGTCGCGATCGGTTTTCGGAGCCAGCCGCCGGCGGGGTGAATGTGATCGATCAAGTGTGTATCGTCCGTTCGGTAAGACCTTGATTAAGCAGTCAGGTTTCGATCTCCGGTATTTGAGAATTCCTTCGATGTTTACATCACACCTACCGTTGGAGATGAGATGGACGACGCGGTATTCACGAGCATCAAAAACGGCTCCCGATCCTGGTGCATGTGGTGGACTTGGATTATGGAAATACAAACATGCAACTGTGTGAGTGTGTGCATGAGAAAATACCGTACATTGTGCCGTTGAAAGATTGCCAAGGAATGGAGAGACCCACAGATTATTACTCGGTATAAATCTGGCTGACCAGCCTGACTGCCGGCTTGCATTCTGCAGGAGCTGGATAGTGGACATGGAAACGATGCGTGTACTGCCACAATCTAGATAGGTCGCAAGTAATTAATGATTAAACAATAAAAAAAGGTTGTGTTTTGCTGGGGAAGCCACAACGGGCCGCTGGGGACTGATCGATGTCAGGTTGAACAATGGACAAGGCAACGGTATGGGTACATTGTCATGACTTAGATAGGTCGCAAGCAATCAATGAGTAAACACCGACATCTATGGGATTGTGCTTAAGGGTTCAAAGGAGGAGAGAAGAGGTTTACCAACATATCTTGTATCAGGGAAACGCCCTTGCTGACGAAAATCTCTCAACGGTCCAGTCCACTCGGAAGAGAATTTCGATCAGTGGAGGGAAAACTGCGAATGACTGCTGATGGCGATGTGCCGATACAAATATGGACTCTGCCCTAGACGGTCACGGCATCAGCTGGTGAGGACCAGCCTGAGGTCAGTGCTCATTTCAAACCCTCACAACTTACCGGGCACCTACAGCTCGGCTTGTCGTGGATAGGTATCATCAGGATGGTCATACTAGGTAGTATGTACATTCGGGGCAGCTATGACAGTTGTTTTTGAAGATTTCGCACGCAGGGTGGGGATCGTCTTCTTCAGCGATATGATACCGACGGCGGCGTTGGAGGGATCTGTTTCGTCCGGCAATGCACAGTTGCAAAGACATTATCCGGTCGACCGAACCTATGGTACACGGGCGATAATCGACGGGTTGCCGTGCACGTCCGGGTTTCCATAGATGAGTTCCACCATCGGAAAAGGAAGGCGATGCACTGACATCGGTCGCCTTTATACTACGGTTCTTCTAGCTTTAGGTATTGGAGGCGTTACTGTAACCAGAATCGCCTCAAACCCTATGGTAATCCCAAAACCTTAAGCCGGGGGATGTTAGTCAGTGAAAAGCTTTTATTTGCCGACTACCTGCGGGATCAAGTAGACGTAGGTAGAGCTTCTCGCCGTTGCAAAGGCTGTGGGAAAAATATGGCGAGTTTCCGAAAAGGGGTCTAGGTCACGGATATATTCCGCACGAAGGTATATTCTGCAGAGTGGGAATAAAAAGATGCTTGAACCTAATTTGGTCATGCTTCATCCCACATGCTTAAAGATCCGACTGGTCCCTGAGAACCCTATTCCCATGGTCCCTGATAAGGCATAGTAGCAGTAAATCAAGAGCTGCAGCGGTGGAATAAGATCACGGATATTAGACTACCACGGCTTGGGTCAATAAGGTTTTTATGCTCGCATCTTTCTACCGGATGTTAGGAACGGTCGACCTGGTGAATATAGTCGGCCCGAGTTGCTGGCCGCAAGCGTCAGGGCGGACTATATGCACGGCTTCTCAGGTTTCCATACACTGGGTTGCAATGGAGCAGACAAGTCATTTCTCTATGCCTCGAACTTGACACGGACCTCAAGATTATACGAAGGGGGTTTATGCGGCGTTCCATGGCCACTCCAGCCTTGCGAGCACGATCTTCCTGCTCCGCAAGGTTTGGGAACCAAACACCCTCCCAATCATGAGGATTTCTCTAGCGGACTCACAGGGAAACATATGGAGGGCGGAATCTATATAAACCAGCTCGACCGTCCCGGAATCTCATCCAGCATCAACTCATTCGTTCTTCATCTGCATCCAACATTCCAACTTCATTCATTCTCTTCAACATTCTCTTATATTCACTCTGTTTGTCCCCCTGCATCCTTCTAGATGACTGCTTTCCGGTCATTTCGAGATGGTCCGCTAACACTTTCTAGTTCAGTAAAACCAACCAACCGTCAAGATGCAGATGCAGATCAACCACTCGCTTGTCCTCGCTGTCGTCTCCCTCGGAGTCTTCGCCAATGCTGCTCCCCAGCGCATTGTCGGTTCCGAGACGACCGCTATCCTCCCTGCGGCGCCCGTCGCCGAGGACTTTACAGATTCCGCCAATGCCCAGTTGATCGGGAACACTGCCGTTGCCGACGGCATCGTTGTGAAGCGCAACGGCGGTTCTTGCAACGAGCAATGCAACCGTGAGCAGAACAACAACCACCTGAGCAACCGCCACCGTGAGGACGGCGATGGCAGCAGCCGCAACCGCAACCACCGCTGCGAGCAGGGATGCAACGAGAGCAACTGCTGCAGCAATTGCAACAACGGCGGCTGCTGCGGTGGCAACGGCGGTGGATGCGGCGACGGCTGCGGCGGAAGCGGATGCAACCGGTGCCACAACGTCAACCAGAGCATCGACAACAACCAGAACATCAACGCTGAGGTTGGACGCAAGGTCGAGAAGGTCCGCATGCCCACCATGAACAGGGCCGGATTGTGCGGCGTCCCTGCCTGCACCGGCGGTTGCGCCGTTCCCACCTGCACTGGCTTCCCCGCCACCTTCCAGGCTGCCTTCCCCGCCGCATACCAAGCTTACCCTGCGACATCCCCCTCCTGCGGCGGCTGCGGCACTTGCGAGCCATGCGCCCAGGAGAAGCGCCAGTTCAAGGCCGACCGTGACAACCAGAACATCTACCAGGAGGTCGACGCCAATCAGGGTCTGATGGCCAACCTCCCGATTGATGAGTTCTTCGGCTCTGAGACCGCGACCCAGGTTGTGACCCAGCCTGTCTTCTTTGCTGCCCCCACCCCGACCTCTTCATGCGGAAGCAAGGACGAGTTCAATGTCATCAACGACGTCAAGTTCGCCGATTCCGGTTTCTTCAAGGCCAAGCGCTCGCTCGGTGGCCTTACGAGGGGTGCATTCGGTGGTATGGACGAGTTCAATGTCATCAACTCCGTCACCTTCGCGGACCGTGAGCAGCAGCAGTTCAACAACCCTTGCAACTACGGATGCAACCCATGCTACGGCCAGTGCAGGCCCAATGGCAAGCCCAAAGGCGCCGTCGCCCAGAACTCCAGCTCCCAATCCTCCAACCGCAACCGCTGCGCGGGCGATCGTTTTAACAATGCTGAGCACTCCAAGCAGCACTCGAAGCGGCAGATGATGGATTGCTCCAGTGACAACCAGAACATCGTCCAGAGCATTCAGAACAACCAGAACGTCGATGCCGAGATCCTCGGCAACACTGGATTCGCAAACACTCGCTCCTTCCTGTCCTTCCTGAACAAGCGTGATGTTGGCCTGATCAAGGGCTCGCCTCTTGCGCGCCGCAACTACCAGCATAACCCTACCAAGAACATCAACATCAACAAGAACCTCAACAAGCCCCAGCCCCCGCCTTGCCCTGTTGAGATCACCACCACAGAGTACGTTCCGGTGGTGGAGAAGATCCCCGTTGCAGTTCCAGTCACGACCTGCCACACCGTCACTGAGATCGAAAAGGTTCCTTACACCGAGTTTGTGGTCACCTACCCCACTCCCACGTGCCAGCCTGCACCGATCGTGAACAACTACATCAACACCGAGGCCAACGCTGCTTCCGGTGCTGAGAACAAGAACATCCACAATGGTCCCATCGCTGAGATTGTTGAGGAGGTGGCTCAGCCTTGCCCTGAGGTCGTCGTCACCGCCCCGGCTGTGACCTGCACTGCCGCCCCCCAGTCCGCCTGCGGCTGCGACTTGTACAAACGCGGCCAGGACGTCGGTTTCGGCGGTTGCGGATGCAACGATGCCTTGGAGGAGGTCGACGAATCGGCAGGTGCCGGTGCTACTGCCTGCGCTTCGGCGAGCGCCTCTTCCAACGAGGAAGCTGACCGAGTTCGTGTCGTCCGTCCTACTCGCGTCTCCCGCCCTGCTACCACAGTCGTCCAGCCTGTCGTGACTCCGGCGGAGGTCATTCAGCCCGTGCACAAGGTCATCCAGCCGATCGTTGAGGAGCACATCAAGCCCGTATACTCCGAGTGCACCAAAGCTCCCATCGTCAACACTTGCGTCGAGCCCTGCACTAAGGCTTGCTGCAACGGCGTCGCCCGCCGTGACTGCGGATGCCCCGCAAACTTCTGTGGATGCCCCACCAAGTGCGATGTGGTCAAGCCCGCTGTCACTGAGACCAAGGCCCCGATCGTCAACAACTCCACGGAGGTCCAGCCTGTTCACATCATCCAGCCTGTCCAGGACGTCGTTCAGCCTGTTGTTGACCAGCACATTAGACCCGTCCACTCCGAGACTATCAACGCCCCGGTGGTGAACACTGTGGAGGAGCCCATCGTCGAAGCGGGCGACCGCTTCACCCCTGCTGCTGCCCTTCCCGGTAGCTACTCTGGCTACAATGCAGCAGCCGCCGCCGCTCCTTTCACTGGCTTTGCCAACGGTGTTGCTGCTCCTGCCGCCGCCGCTCCTTACGCCGGCTACGTGAACGGTATTGCTGCGCCCGGCCCTTTCGCGCCCGCCTCTGTAACCGGCCCATACTCCGCGTCTGTCGTCGGTCCGGCTGGCTATGCACCCAAAGCGAATGTGATTGAGCCCAAGGTCACCCGCGTTGAGCCCACCCGCATCAACACCTCCGAAGATGTCCAGCCCGTCGACATTATCCAACCCGTTCAGGACGTTGTGCAGCCCGTAGTCGACCAGCACGTCAAGCCTGTATACTCCCAGTCCACAAACGCTCCCATCGTCAACACTTGTGTCGAGCCCTGCACTAAGGCTTGCTGCAACGGCGTCGCCCGCCGTGACTGCGGATGCCCCGCAAACTTCTGTGGATGCCCCACCAAGTGCGATGTGGTCAAGCCCGCTGTCACTGAGACCAAGGCCCCGATCGTCAACAACTCCAAACAGGTCCAGCCTGTTGACATCATCCAGCCTGTCCAGGACGTCGTTCAGCCTGTTGTTGACCAGCACATTAGGCCCGTCCACTCCGAGACTATCAACGCCCCGGTGGTGAACACTGTGGAGGAGCCCATCGTCGAAGCGGGCGACCGCTTCACCCCTGCTGCCGCCCTTCCCGGTAGCTACTCTGGCTACAATGCAGCAGCCGCCGCCGCTCCTTTCACTAGCTATGCCAACGGTGTTGCTGCTCCTTTCACTGGCTTTGCCAACGGTGTTGCTGCTCCTGCCGCCGCCGCTCCTTACGCCGGCTACGTGAACGGTATTGCTGGCCCCGGCCCTTTTGCCTCCGGGTCCGCTACCGGTCCCTACTCCGTTCGCGGCACAGCCGGCTATGCGCCCAAGACAGATGTGATTGAGCCCAAGGTCACCCGCGTTGAGCCCACCCGCATCAACACCTCCGAAGATGTCCAGCCCGTCGACATTATCCAACCCGTCCAGGACGTTGTGCAGCCCGTCGTTGACCAGCACGTCAAGCCCGTCCACTCCCAGGCAACCAATGCTCCCATCGTCAAGTGCACCAAGGAGCCTTGCACCGAGGCTTGCGGATGCAATGGACTTTATAAGCGTCAGGAGGAGTGTGGCAGCTCCGGAGGCCAGGAGTTCGGCGGAAACACCATCAACAGCGGCGAGAGCGGCAACGGTGGCAGTTTCGGAAACACCAGCTGCAACAGCGACTGCGACAGCGGCTGTGGCTCTTGCGGTGGCCAGGAGTTCGGCGGAAACACCATCAACAGCGGTAACTCTGGAAACAACGAGGGCTTCTGCGGATGCCCCAGCTCCTCATCGTGCGACTGCAACAGCCCCCAGGTGATCCAGCCCATCCAGAACAACTACGCCGCTCAGCCCTGCCCCACTGCCGCTGCCGCCGCTATCCCTAGTGCTGCCGCCGTTCAGCCCCTCCAGTATTGCCCCATCGACAACAACAACAACCGCTGCGACCGTCACGAGCGTCACCGGGAGAACAACAGCTGCTGCAGCAACAACTGCTGCAACAACTGCTGCTGCGGAAACAACGGCAACTGCGGCGGCGGCAACTGCTGCGAAATCCCCCACTCCATCGCTCACTCCGAGGGTGAGTGCACTGGAGGAACCATCAACGAGAACATCAACATCAACGTGAAGCGCGGATACGCTTACCCCGGCTGCACTGACAGCTGCACTGACAGCTGCACCACAGCACACGCCATCCACGAGGCCGAGTTCGGATGCCCTCCAGCCAACCTTGAGCTCGTCGACTTTGAGAGCAAGGCTGTCTACAAGAGCCCCAACGCCGTCACCATCGAGACTGTCCGCCCCAATGAGTACTTCGAGACTGTCCGCCCTTGCGCCCCGGTTAAGCCTGTCACCGTTGTGAAGGAGGTCGCTCCAGTCAAGGTCTGCGAGAAGACCACTACCGTCATCAAGGGCACCACCGCTCCTTGCGGAACCGTGTACTAACTTCCCCTTCGTCCTCGCCCCCTCCCCAACATTTGGTAAGAGTAAGTGAGGGATAGCCGGATTAGCAAGGATGGAAATGTTTTCTTTTGTCATTTTTTTCCTATTTTCCTATTTCCTATTTCCTTTGTCTTTGTCTTTGCTGGAGAATGAATGTTCATTCGATTCGACTTTGGTTGTGCGCATTTTTGGGGGGAGCTCTGGTTTATCACCGTCTTCGGTCTTCGGTCTACGGGAACAGTGTCAGATTAGGGTTGGATGCGAACGAATGAAGTCAAGTGGTTTTACATACTGAAACGTGCATTGCCTGCGTACTCGGGTGGTGATCGATAGTGACCCCTCATCTTCCTTCACGACTTGTCCGAGTCGCGTGACAACCTACCTCCCTTCACCGGATCGCTCGATCTTTGGTCTGGACCTTCACTGGGGGTTTCGGGTTTCTTGCGAGATGGGCCGATCCGAGTTTTTCGTAGCCTTACGTGTCGGCCCTTAGACGATGATTCCGAAAACGTCGCCATCGTCTTGGAAGATATCCTGCACCTTCTCTTCCGAGAGTGAATGGATTCCGTTCGGTGCTCGCGGGCACGTGTTCATAAACCGGCATCAGACAAAATTGGAGGTATATGTCACATGGTGATATCAGTAGGATCACATTTTGACAGCAAGCTGGATGGATGGGCGTCCGGCCGACACTGTGCTGCTGATAGCGATATTGATTCCAGTAAGTAGAGTCTTCTCCACATGGCATCAACTTAAAATTGAAAAGAACCTCAAGCTCCTGGGTCCACCTTTTCCCATACATCCACTAATTCCTCTTCTTACTCTTCGTCTTGTCCACCACGGCGGCAGCTGCCAACCTTTTCTCCTCCTCCTCCTCCTCCAACTGTATCGCCGCAGCCACCTCCTGCCCCTCCTTCCTCTCCGCGTACCATTGTCCACTCTGCAGAACCAGGACACCCACCAATACCAACGCAAGGATGACATGGCTAGCCGCCATGACCCTCAGCGTATCAACGCGCCCAATATCCTCACCGTACTCACCACTCTCCACCGTACGCAGCCCACGGATGATGTTGGTACCGTACATGATGAGGCCGATCATGTATAGCACCAGACTGGCGCCATCGAAAAGCATGTTGCTCTCGCTCGGGCGGTAGAGCTTAACGAAGAAACCCAGCAGGCCGGTGACGATGACGGCGTGGAGGAGGCGGGCGAGGATCGGCGGCGACCGGCAGAGCATGCTGTAGTGGGTTTCGACGGCGGCGATGGTGGCTTCCGACATGGGGAGGGTGGACCACAGTGTGTGGTGGTCATAGGACCAATTCGTGAACAGAATGCCGAGGACGAAACATGTCGCTGATGAGGTTAGCAAGCGAGCGCGCGTGCGCGGCGCAAACGGGCGGAACAAACGGCAGATGATTAGGAACGTCGCGAAGTTGGCGGTCGGCATCGTTGTACGTTCGTTCTAGTTTTTTTCTCCTTCGTGTTTTCGTGAGGGGTTGGCCGGTGGTGGCGGACGATGTTGGTTGAGATGGGGCGCGCGGGAGTAGGTACTTCTTCTAATTACAAGTTCGCCTCTAGTAGCCAAGCGTTTGGGCGACGGCCGATGCCGGTTCGGGAATGTGACAAGAAATTGAGAGACCACCGGAGAGCTGCGCGGTGAAGAAGACACGGTTTTCGTACATAAAAACCGCGAATTTTCTGGAGATAAAGCAGTAGAGTAGTTAGCGGAGGCGGAGGTCGGCGATGGCAGCGCTGGTTGATGCGGATCGGAGCAGAGGAACTCCGCCCCCGCACCCGAAAAAACTCCGCCTCAACACTCGAGGCTTACTTATACCGATTGCATTCTGTGCAACTACAGACGCGCATCTCGCTCCAAGGCAGATGGACGGAGCGGAGCACGGTCATTCGGCAATCGGTTTCAGAGGACCCTAAAGACGATGACGACGATGGTGAGGCGCACCGTGCGGGCGGAGGCTCGGCGAGCCCGGAAAGGCTGACTATCTTGTCGTCCCTCGTGTTTGTGTTCGTGTTGGTTGACAGGCGGACCGGAAGAAGAAGCGATAGTTAACCTCCTGCTTTCACGAGTCTACCTACCGCTCGGTTCGGAACTTTGTGGTTTGTCTTGTATGCGATCCACCGAAAATCTACCGCCTGGTATCGTAGCTTTCAAGATAAACTGTGGGGTGAAGTCCAAATGAGTGCAAAACAAGCCGAAATTGCCGTTTGAGAGCTGGTGTTGCCGCGCGTTTTCTTTTCCTGAGTTTCTTAACATTACTACAAGCTTGAGGGAAAGAGCTGCATAATCTTAGATCGATGGCTTTATGGTTGAGAAATAGACTCACAAATGAAACGGTGGCGAAAACAGAATTCGGGGGAGGGGAAGTAGATATGCTTACGTATTGCCAAAACGAAAAGAAGTCGAAGCGGAATAGCTATGGCAGCGCATTGATGGACGCTGAGTAGGAAAGTACATGAGATTACCTAGTACAGCAGTTGGAATGAGTATTCAGCTCCGAGCCTCGCTTCGGTTGAACTAATACCACCTTCACATCCGCCGAGTGTCACAGATCTCGAATACAACCAGGATTTCTGGACCATAGGAGCGAGGCACGTTGCTTGTGTTTTGAGCTTGAAGGCCCTGAAGATCTGATCTGTGGTGTGAACAAGCTGCTGAGGACCCGGGGGATCCCGTCTCCCCATGGCATTTCCGCCGTGTGCCGCAAGATCCAGAACAGGCTGCAGCCCGTCATCAGTGCATTGGGAATGGAATCATCGAGGCTTCCAGTACTAGGACCCAAATTCCGCGCATCTTGAAATGTTGGGCAGTCTCTGGCCTGGCGCTATAGTCTTCGGCGGGGTTGTGAGGGCCCGCGATACCTCTCCAATTTGATTCAGCTTGAACTATACCTCATCGAGCTTTGGTAATCATGAACGTATGGCTTCGTACTGAGCCTATGTAGTAGTACCCAAGTATCTACACAACGATATAAAAATAAACGATCTCTATTGATTGGAGGATTCTTGCATTTATGTTCGTGTGTCTTTAATCACTACATCGCTGTGCGAAAGAGAGAACAGAATTCATAACTCATCCCCTCCCGAAACTCCAGAGGCTGTATCCCAAAATTCACAAGTCACGCCTCCCGTTCTGCAAGCCTCAGCCAGCTCCCATCTTGAGTCCTCATCGTGAGGGAATGGAGTCACCACCGACCGCAAGCTCTGCATCCTTTCGCCTTCCACCTTAGCCTGGAGAACCTGCAACATATTCTTCGTGACCTCCTCGTGATACTCCTCTAAAGTGACATCATACAGCATCCTTATATTCTCCCTGCCCACGCCATCCGTGAAGGCGAAGTACTCCAAGTTTGGCGGAAGGCGGTCGAGGATGGTTGGCTTTGCCATTGGAGTGAGGACGGTGCGGAGCGGGACCATCTGGTAAAAGTTGACGGTCATCTTCCGCAGCTGATAAAAATCCTCAAAGGACTCGAACTGGGCTGATAGGTTTTCGACCACTGCTAGATCATCCGCCAAATATCCACGTCTGCGCAGTTCCACATCGAGATAGAGAACCTGAAGGGTGTGGCGGACTTCTATCAAGGCTTCCATCATCTCTCCCAGGATGAGTCGGTACGGAATCCCAATGAATTTCTCTTCATCCCACACTGTGTATTTGAACCGTTGGAGCTTCTTGGTTCGTGCGAGGAGCCACCGGAATAACTTCGGTTGGATGTTAGCCCTAATGAATTCTAGCGATGTGATGTTGCATTGGAACCCGGGAGCGACGAGTGCATCAAGCAGCATCTGCCCGGGTCTCCCGTCTGAGAAAAAGATGGACTCCACATCGTCATCGGCACCCATCGAACCGATTCCTCCCGTTGTGGACACACACTCCAACCTCGGCGCAACCATTATCATGGGAATGATATAGACCACCGGAAAACACGGCATCCCGTCATAATCCGTCCAAATCAGTCTCTGAAGATTCCGAAACACTGGCTGCTTGAACGTCTGCCACATGGAGGGAAAGCAAAACGCGCCGTGGGCGTATCCCCTACACTCGAGGACCTCCAGATTCACCAGCTTCGCCAGAAGCAACGGCAGCGCCACATCCACGAATCCCGTCGACCGATCACCCGCGTAGAAATAATCTCCCGACTCAAGGTACGGCATATACGGAAACCGTTCCTCCGTCAACTCCAGCGCCTTGACCTCCCTCGCCCAGATCGCCAGATCTACCTCCGTCATGGGATCCTCCAGGCACCTCGAGTCTTCAAGATCCGGTACACATCCGGATTCCCAGTCCCAGTTTATGCACATAGACTGCACACGATTCACGAGGTATGGCTTCCTGTTGAACAGCCGGAGCAGCTCGAGGGCATCCAGCGACGTGAGGCAGACTCCGCCGCTGTTGTCGCTTGTGATGTCGCCAAGCCTCTTGTATAGAAGGTCCTGTGCTAGCCCATGGAAGCGGTGGTTTACGTGCTGAATAGTGAAGACGGTTTTGAAGGGAAGAGCCCGGATGATCTCGCGGATGAGCTCGTTCGGAAGGTCGAGGATTCGGAATGGCATTGCGATGGCTGTGGTGGTAGGTTGCCTCAGATACGCAACAGGGGTCGAGAGCCGAAAGGTTGGCGTTCAAGTGACAAGCCCCGAGATGGCGATCGAGAACCGATAGATGGTCTGTGACTGAAGCGGAGGAGTGCAGACGTGATTTTTGTGTAGGAGCCCACGACGTCAGCGGTGGTTGCCGGGTCAGGATGGGGGAGTAGGTGGGTGTGAGCGAGGGGTTCCGTAGCTTGAGCTCCAGCCCCGCAGCAGCCACAGCTTCTCGGTTCACAGCCAATCGTAGAAGTGCGTAAGTAAGTGTACTTACTTAGGTAAGTACTTACCTCACACCTAACCAATGTACCAAGACATCTCCAGCGAGTTGAAAGTTGAAACTTTGCAGGAGCAGCAATTGTGTATGCAGGGGCGATCGATTGTATTCAGCTCGGTGAAATGCCGGTTTCTCAGTTGATCATATTTGCGTGGCTGATGTCACACATTCAAGCCATCGAGCGCCACTCTTCAGCCATAACGAACGTGGTGCATCGTTGCTTCGAAGCGTGATGGCACTCTAAACACAGCATGTTCGAAAGCATCCAAATCAAGATCCAAAATGACCGACGAGATGAATTCGAGCATATGTGATGCTATTCAAAGAGAACGAAACATCCCGGAAGAAGTCGTGTCCAGTCGAGTGACGGCTATGCTCAACGCTAATTCCTTCTACGGCATCACTCACTCCCAGTCATAGCAACGCCTATTCGCCCTCTCCCATAGAAACGCCTACCCACTCTCACTCCACCCCACATCAACCCAACCCATCACGCCGCTCCACCACAACAATGGGCCAGTCCAAAGACCTCCCGAACGGCAAGCTACAGCTAGTTCTCAGTTACTTCCGCACAACCCGCGTCGCGCACACCCTCAAGGACCTCGAGAAATCCCTCCCCCCTGCAGCTGGGATCTCCGGGATGCTGGTGAAAGAGTACATCGCAGCACTAGTTGCAGAGAGTCTCATCAGCGTTGAGAAAATCGGTTCCGGAAACTGGTACTGGAGTTTCCCCGCCGACGCGGTACGGCAGAAGCTGAACCTCCTCGCTGAGGCGACGAAGGAGAGGGATAAGGCAAGGGCGGCGTTAGAGAACGTGCAGGCGATGATGCAGGAGGAGAAGGAGAGAATTGCTGGGGGCGAGGGAGGCGGCGACAGGCTTGAGCTGGTGGATAGGTTGAGGGAGGCTGAGGACAGAAGGGAGGCGGCTAGGGAGGAGTTGAAGGAGATTAGGAGCACTAAGGGAGCGGAGGTGGCGTTGAGTGAGAAGGAAAAGCTGAGGCTGAGCGTGAATGAGATGATCGGTGGGGCATTCCGGTTGCATAGGCCTGTAAGGAGTGCTGACAGCAAAGCAGATAATATCTACGCGCTCGAGAAGCTCCTCAAGGATAGTGGCAAGGAACAGGAGGTGATTGATAAGATCCGCCAGACTTTGGGGATCGAGGAGGAGCTTGATTACATGGATTGATGGCGCTGGGATGGGTGGTAATCCATTGATGGCGGGGTTTTCGACGTTTGGTTGGATTCGATTTGATTCGCTTTGCTGATTTGATTTGCGGGGAAATATTGGTCATGCGTTGTGTCTGGAATGAATAGAATCTCAAGGAACCCATGGACGCTGGAAATACCTATTACTTCTCTCCAAAGCCTCCGGATGTTTTTGGTCCTTGCCGGTCGGCCAAGTGAGAGCCGAAAGCAGGTACCTGCACATGATCAGTTCGCGAGATTCCCAAAGTGGGAGCTCTTCCCGCCTCGGCATCCAACCAACAAGAAGTTACCGCCTCGAGTAGGAGCGTCCTAGCTTAAATACAAGTACTCCGAACCCCTCCCACCGCCACCCCCCAACAAAACCTCCTTCTATCACTCGCTTGACTGTTGGAATCCCTACGGTTCCGCCGGGCCGATCAATCTCCCGGCCGGGACCTCCGAAAACACGGAGACCCCGCTCGCTAGCCAAGATCATCTACTCTAAATAGATTAACTCTGCAGTTACAACGTCCGTGCATTAATGACATATTCCAGGGCTATGTTTTGCCTACACAACCTCGTGATGTAAATGATACTGGCACGGAGTACCACCTCGCTCCCCACAGGCCCGAGGATCCGGTTGGGTACATTGCTCCTGTCAGTATAAATCCCTCCACCCGCCAGCTATTCTTTTCACTTCCCTCCCCACGCCTCGCAGACATGCATTTCACCACCATTCCCCTCCTCTTGGCCGCCACACTGGCGCCCGGCGTCCTTGGCCACGGCTACCTGAAAGAAATCATCGTCGATGGCAAATCCTACGGCGGCTGGCAACCATATTCGGATCCATACATCACTCCAACCCCTGTGCGCTACACGCGTGTATTCCCCGATAACGGTCCAGTCCCGGACTTTACGACCGCGGATATCACCTGCAACAAGGGCGGGAACATCCCCATCGCAAATAACATCCCTGTGACGGCTGGTTCCCAGGTTAAGTTCCAGTGGGACCAGTGGGGGAGCTCCCACTCCGGGCCAGTGATGACTTATGTTGCAAAATGTATCCTCCCTCCTGCCTTGCTTCTCGGTACTCCTTGCTGACCCATAACAGGCCCCGGTGACTTCTCCACCTGCAAAGCCAACACCGGCAACGTATGGGTGAAAATCGACGAATGGGGTTACAAAGCGGACCAAACTCCTCCCTGGGGCTCAGACAAGCTTGCGAGTCTGGGTGCAAGCTGGACCGTTACAATTCCCAAGTCCCTAAGCAACGGGAACTACCTTCTCCGCCACGAGATCCTGGGTCTGCATGTGGCTAGCACGAGGATGGGCGCACAGTTCTACCCTTCGTGTGCACAGATCGTTATCACGGGTGGTGGATCCGCTAATCCCACTGGTGTGGCGCTGCCGGGGGCTTACGATCCGGACCATCCCGGCATTTTGGCGGAGCTGTGGAAGTTCAATCAAGGACTGGCGGTGTATCAGGCTCCTGGAGGTACGCTCTCCCAATAATTCATCTCACCGCGACTGTTGCTAATATATATGGACGTAGGTTCTGTCTGGACTGGTTAGACCGATTGGTGACGATCGGCTCGAGCTGCGGTTCTTGAGTCGCATGAATGAGTGGAGGGGGGAAAGGGGGGGCGTATGTACTTACTCGCTTACCGAATACATTCTTTGGCTACAAGTATGTCAGCTCAAAGCTCAGGGATGATAATGGTTTGTCGTACCGGCGGTGAAACTCGTAGAATTGGTGACCAGCACGTATTTGCATTCGCGATCACTCGCTTTCTTCGCCAACACTCGAACCGCCGAGGCGGTTAACGATTGATGTCCGAGCCACTGAAAGCAACCTACAGAAGAGCTAGAGTGAGTATAAGCCTTGATGTCCTGTGACGTAATATGCGCAAGTGTTGTCGTAGAATTTCCTTGGATGCGTCATGTTCTGTCGATATGAGGATCACAAGGCGGAAGCTCCTGATCTGCTTGCTGAACAGAATGGTTCTCCAAGGAGCGAACTATTGGTGCAGTTTGCAAGGGTATCACTTCACTTCTCCATTGCATCTCCTCCTCTACCACCGCCATGGCTTTACCCGACGCATCACACCTATCAAGGAATCAACTCTTCACCCACACCCAAAACCGGACTACCTATTCAGAACAGCTTAATCAGCACACGACACTCAACCTCCTCGTGTTTCACTTGCGGTCATCATCACCGCTATCGCTCTCACCCCGCTCCGTGACGACAAGTCTCCCAGTCATCGTTCAGAACGAAAGCGTGGTGACATGTTGCACTCTTTACTAGTCTTCCGTCCATTCAATCACCACCACATTCCCTCGAGCTGTCTCCGTCGCTATCGAGTCGGCGACGAATAAAGCGAATAAAGTAGAAAGCTGTCCATGACTGGACGCCACCGTATTCAACATGAGAAAGTACATACATACGAGGATTGCTGACGGCGGACCAAACTAGGCGATCATAACCGGCCCTTCATTATCAACGCCCTTCCTTGTCCCTTCTTCATTCTCACTTATCGTTCACCTTCTCCGATCGAGTACTAGTCGTTAGAACTTTGGCATCCTTCCGAGTCCGTACCCTCATGCTCTCTATGGAGATTTCTGCCGGCGTCAGATCCTGTCCCTGACAGCAAGCCGCAAAACCCACCCCCGAAGCAACCCTTGAAAGAGCAAGGGGATCGAAGTGCGGTTTCCGATAAGGAGGAACGATCAACCAAGGCGGCGGAAGCTTCGTGCATCCAATCTAGCCCCGGGTAGCGAGCCGCCTACCACGCCCCCCCGAAACATCCCCCGAAACAGCAAAGGATCATAGAAGGGTTTCCACAAGATTTTTCATTCCTCACCACGCGGGGCATGACGACTGGGACCATGATGGGAAATATTACTGGTACGATCAAAGGGGGCCTCCGCGATCCGCTCCTGTTCCCAAAAAAATGACACTGACACCATTTCGTTCCGTAATAGGGCTTTGATTTGCGTTCTGGGCTCTGCTATTGAAGCGGTCGGTCAACAAGTTGCAGCCTGTGGCGACGTTCAAGATCGTCAAGAACCGTCAGTCCTGGCTGTCTAGCAGACATGAATTCGCCACGGCTTGCCCGTACATACGGATTCCGATTCGGTTCGACAGTAATTCTAAATATCCCAGCAGTCGGAGCCATAGTTATGACGTTCGATAGTTCGACCCTCCCTAAGTAGATAGCACGTCACTCTTCTCTGCAATTCTGCCCCGATGGCTGGTAAAAAGAACCTGAGCATTGTACCAAAAGAAACTCTCTCTCTGTCAGGGAATTGAACCCTGGTCTCCCGCGGACTATCATGGAATGACAGGCGGAAATACTAACCACTATACTAACAGAGATGCTGTGTTGACCTTGTTACAACTTACATTTACGACTTCAACTAGCCTGTGGTGGCAATGCTGTATGGAGAACTGTGGAAAATAACGTTACCGATTATTCCCGTCCTCGGGCGGACATCACCAGGATATGTATCTCGATTTTCAGCATGACAGCAAGTTCTCAAGTACCAAAGCGGCTCGATATAGTAGCATGGCGCATCAACAGTAGTACTAGCTATTTCAGGTGCTCCCAGAAGTGAGTTCTACTTGTATCACCCGCTGAATGCCCTCGGACTGGCAAGATATCCTCACGGATGCCCACGCATAACTGATCGACGTTTCTCTCCTCATAGCGGTGTATAGGTACGTAGTGGTATTACTGGCACGACGCACGAGGGGAAGCTCGAGCAGCTATGGCCTCGAGCGCCGACTTAATCTCGACCCATTTCCAAGATCTTTTGGGAGGGAGAATACAAGACTTCCGCCGTACATACACACTGCAAATTACGAGCACACCCATCATACCAGTAACCACTAACCAGACACCAGTGACTATGTAGTTATAAATAGCACGCACATATTCCGATACCTAGATGGCCAATAAACCCCCCCCTCCCCCCAAATTTTACGCAAAATCACCTACTTACGCCGGCAAAATCACTTCACAGCCGGCCGATTCAGAAGATGGCCCCAGGCCTGCACCACATCGCGACACCGCGTCGTGGCCGAGAACATCGCCATCTCGCGCCACCCCTTGCCCTCTGGTTCGGAGTATACGTACCTGTCCAACAGGAGGACTCCGTCGTCGGATCCGATATCAACACACAGCTTTGGGGCTGAGATGAGTTAGGTAAGTAAGTACATACTGCGGCGCGGGAAGAAAGTGGACATACCAAGCGGGCGACCCGTCTGGAAATAGCATCTCGTGATTTTCTTGGTCCGGTGCCACCATACGGTGGGTGCCAAGGGAGTGACACGGCCAAACATGAGCAGCATACCCAACGCGCGGACAACGTTCTTGGCATTCGCGAGTTCGTCGGCACGCTCCTCCGCCTCGATGTCCGCGAGCTTCGCCCGCAGCGCGGCAGAATCGGCCCGTAGCGCGTCAACATTCGCTCGCAGCGCGGCAGATTCCCTGCGTAGCGCGTCTATTTCCGTCCACAAATTGTCGATCAGGTCCGCGTCGGTTGTGCTTCTGGGGCCATGATCCGTTTGCGTATCGGCCGCACCCGAGTGCTAGATGCGAGTCAGCAAGACGCGGTCCTATGCGGGATTGTACCGTCGCCGCAAACCTCTCCCAGCTCGTATCTAGCAAAGGTGCTTCCAATCGCCGCGTCTATGGCGGCGCGGACCGAGAGTATGATTTCGTGGCGTTGCTTCGTGACGGCGGTTTCACGCGACTCCTGCCCGAAGTCCTCATGCCACTCGCCGCGGCTAAGGCTTCGCGGCGAAGACGGGCTCAGGAAGGGGTTGAGCGGAGTGAAGACTACCGAACTGTCGGATACAGACGTGCTCGAAGCGGGACTGGAGCGTTCGCTGGACGTAGGCGTGAAAGATCTCGTACTGAGGTCGTCGGTTTCCATCGTGTTGGAGGTGAGATGATGAGTGCTGTGCTCACTGCTGCTGCCCCCTTTTGCTTTTCGGTGACGGCTCCCCCCTAGCACGGTGAGCGGGGTACACAGTCATGGAATTCCGAAGTGAAGTTCCAGCCACTGCAGCCACCCCCTGCTTTCGACACTTTCGTCAGAATCGGTGGGTGAAACCATCCAATTGGAAGCAAATCACACCTTTTATTAGGATTGATCAATAGCGGTTTCTATGTGGTCCCGGACAGGCCATTGTCACGGCCATTCATTCGGATAACACAGACGGAGACGGAATTACGGGAAATTGATGTTGGTTGGAATCACGATACTCACTCGATCGCCGTAGTTATGGGCGGGCAAGCAAAATTGGACTTTGCGATGACTAACACGCTCATAAATGTGGTCCGACACCGTCCATCCATCCGCCACTATTCATCACGAACATGACAGGTTAACAATAGCACAGGGGGGACCAGAAACTCCCAATGCAAGACCGGAGATATAGCGAATCGCAAGGTGTTGTGACCGTACTTATGTGTGAGGTTACACCATCGAATGACATCCCGTAAGTGATGTCTGACCTCCCCTCGTCTATATGACAGTTCAATAACTTTTCCCTTATGAGGTATCCGCTCAACTCCACCCCGCAATCTGCCCAGCTGAAAAAGTACAGTGGTCAACAACTAGGGCTGATCGGTATGGAGGCAGTAACAGAGCCAGGCGGCAGTAGAATGATTGGAGGCAATCCAAAAACAGCGGAATCTTTACGGCCAAAAAATGATTATACTGAGAAAAGTAATGCGCATTGCCACGTCGGTACCGATAGATGTGAATCATCCTGTTCTTTGATTTGGTCGCGCTATGGCAGCATGCTGGCATTCAAATGCCCACAACACTCATAACCTTCCTGGATCGGTATGGCAGCAAGCTGGTATTCAAATGCCCACAACGCTCATAACCTTTCCGGATCGGTACGGCAGCATGCTGGCATTCAAATGAATGCGTCTTCGCACAACTCTCATAGCCTTACTAGACCAATACAGCATCAACTGGAATTCTCTACTCGTCAAAAGACAATATTACGTGCGATGCGCAGTCAGTGGATATGAGCATCAGTTCAATCTCAATATTTTATATGACTATAGTACCGGGGTGAATGCTGATTTTATATCACTAAGGGCCGGTTTGTATGCAGTAATCCAGTGTGTCTCGCATTGAACTTCTATCTAGTATTTTATCTACTTCCTACATTATTTAATATTCTTTCTAGCCTGTGCCAAGTGGATGTATTGCGCCGAGGGGAATGGAGAATAGAGTTGCTGCTAGAAAAGATATGAGAGAGAAGCTATTAGCGAGGGTAGACTTGCGGCTAGAGTAGAGTTGCGCCGAGAGTAGAGTTGGTGGCGCCGAGAGTAGAGTGTCGGGGGAGGGTAGACTTGCGGTCAGAGTAGAGTTGTGCCGAGATGAGGGGAGAATAGAGTTGCGCCGAGAAAAGCAGTTGCGGCGGCAGTGGGAGTACTGGCTGCAGTGGAAGTAAAGCTATGATTGAGGGAATCTCAGCGGATGTAGCAGTAGCGTCAGAAGGGGGCACAGCAGTTGTGGCAGGAGTAGAGCTTTGAGAGAAGTGCTAACAGCGGCAGTAGTAGTTGTAGCGCGAGGGGGAATAGCAGTTGCGGCGAGGGCAGAGCTGTGGCGGCGAGGACAGAGCTGTGGCAGCGAGGGCAGAGCTGCGGGATAGAATCATCAGCGAGAGTAGCAGTGGCGGCGGGAGGGGGAATAGCATTGGCGGCGAGGACAGAGCTGCCACGAGGGCAGCAGTAGCAGTGGCGGCGAAGGGAGAGCTGTGGGACAGAAGCATCAGCGAGAATAGCAGTGGTGGTGGGAGGGGGAATAGTAGTGGTGGCGGGAGGGGGAGTAACAGTTGCGGCGGGAGTAGAAGCTGCAGCGAGAAGAACTGGAAAACAGATCAGCATCAGCGAGAATAGCAGTTGGGGCAGTAGGGGGAATAGCAGTTGCGGCGGGAATAGCAGTTGCGGCGGGAATAGCAGTTGCGGCGGGTGTGGGAGCTATAAGAGAGAGAAAATATCAACAAGAGATCGAGAGAAGCTATCATTGAAAGGAAGTGGAGGAGCTGTCAGCGGGTGGAGGAGTTTTCTGTGAAGGGGGGAGTGATGGAGGAAGTAACGGGGAAGCTGTCTGTGTGTGCGGGTGAGGTGATGGAGGAAGTGACGGAGAAGCTGTCTGTGATATTTACAGCGGATCCAGGAGCGTGAGGAGCAGTAGTAGCAGGCGATGCTAAGCACGGTGGGTCGAACAGGGTGAGGAGGAGTAGAGAGGGGGGAAGTGATACCGCCCACAAAAGGCGAGTAGCAGTAGGAGGAGACAGCATTCGTGGTGGTGCCGGCGGGGCAAGTAGCAGTTGAGGGACAGGGCATTCGCGGCGGGTCGAGCAAGATGATATTATGCACAGGAAGTAGCCTATTTCGCCTATCTTTCTCCAATCTTATCGGATTCGAGTGACTCCTATATGTAATGGTAGGAGACGGTATCCTAATTCTATGCAGCAGTCGTCGTACCTGAGCATTTGCCTTTATGTTGGTAATCGTCAAGAATGCTGCAACCGTTCGTACGGTGTGGTACCTAGTACCTAGTATGTCGAGAAAACGGCATTCTAAGGAATGCCGCATGTAGTTTCGCTGCCTAGTATTATGATAGCCATCGCACTACGGAGGGCAAATGATTACGTATTGAAGGCATCGGGCATCCTGCCTGTAAATGCAGCATTTAGACCAGCTCCCGCAGTCATAAAATCAGGCATTTATCACCAGCATTTCAGACAAATTTGCATTGTAAAACCGGTACAGAGTGTTACAACTACGGTAGCGCGACAGGATTTCGGGCATGACGTATTCATATGAATCTGCGTTACACTGGGTGCTAAATTCTATCACGGTACTGAAGCAACATGGAAATTGCACAATTCAAGTTGCACTCTGGTTCCGAGCAGCCCATATTTTTTACTACTGTATGTACCATTGGATTATCATTGGAGCCAGCAGGAGCCCATGGAAATCAGTCGAATCCGGTGCGCTCCCCACATCACTGTCTCATAGCTCTGATGGCAGTGTCCCGAGTCCTAGCGAAAGAAAAGGGGCTAAGCCATCGCAGCCACTAAGATGCGCTGCTGGACGTCGCGTGGTCACAGGAGATCACTCGCCCTGTCACTCCCGGGGGAAGGTAGGAGTATTCGCTGCGTCTTTGGTGCTGCGCTAGTCGCGACGTCTACTATGATCTTGGTAGTACGTTCAGCTGATATATCCTTATTTGTGTTGCCCGCGGAACGGGGGTGCAACAAATACAGTAACATCATCGTCTAGCACTCGCTGCGGTATTCCGCTACCAGCCGTTCACGGGCGACGCAAGCTCGTCACCATTCAAGGACGCAGAGTTTGGCACTCGGAGTGGTTGGTCTTGGGGCGTGTACGTAGGTGCTCCTTTTGATGCGGTATTTGGATTCTGGGTTCGCTGGCGGGGCTCCCCACCACGGTTGTCTATCAGTAGTCTGCCTAGGTCCATCTCGATTCCAGAATCCAGACTACGGGCGAGCAATTACGACCGCAGTAATATGTCATTTCCTTGCATAACGTAATGCTAGTGTCTCTGCCCGGCGGCCCGGCCGTAAATGCCTCCTCCAAGTAGATTGCCCCGATGGAGCACGCTGGGCCGCTGGGCCTTTAGCCAATCTATCCCCGCATGGAATATCACACTACCATTACGCCTGCAGCTACATCAAAGCACCGGCTCGTGAGGAACCACGTCTCTCCATCGCTCTCCACCCCCTCTCCACCCCCTCTCCACCCCCCATCCGTCCGTCCGTCCCTCTAGTCCCTGTGTCTGCATTCAACCCCTCACTCGCCCCCCGACCTCCCGAGCCCGGTGATCACAATATCACATTACCTAGCGTGCATCGACCAGGCCTCTTGCTAGCATACGGGACCACGTCTTGCAAGTTTCCTGGCGTGTTTCCCCTCCCGCTTCCCCTCCCCTTCAGCTCCCCCTCTCGCCTCAGCTGCAGTTGCAGTTGCAGCCCCTGCATCTTGCCACCAACCTGTCTGCCTGCTGCCTGCTTTATTCCGGTCTGAGCTAGTTTTGTTGTATCCACGACGGTGCCGCGATATCCACGATCCCTCAATGTACATACCATTTGGCCAGTGGCCAGTGGCCACTGTTGGTGGTAGGCCCGGATCTAGGCTCGAAAGGAGAGCGTCGTCAGTGCAGGAAAGCCGGTTGGCATCGTTGGCAGCGGCATAGACACACCACACCTCCTCCTCTCCCTTCTCCGTCCAGCCGTGCTTGCACCCGCTGATCCATCCATCTATCCACAAGTGCCAGCAGGTTTTGTCCGCTCCTGCAGCGTGCAGGACCAAGTGAAAGCCAAAACGGAAGTTGGTATGGGGTGGGGAGAGGTTTGAATGAGATGAGGGTGTGGCAAACGACCGCCATGATACGTAGGTACTTTGGCCAACATGTGAGAGGACTGATGCGGGAAAGGATCAGGATCAGGAGAGCCCTGGATACCTTCGGTGGATCACCGGGGTTGGTGGTAGTGGTGAGCCGGGAAAGGAATGGAAATGCAAGGAAAGGGGAGATTCAATGATCAATCAGCCTTCGGGAGAAGGAGAAGCAGGAGTCGGAGTCACCGTACTCGTACATACAGGATGGGATGGGATGGGATAGCCAGGTAGGGAACCCACATTTCCCATCCGTCCCATGATGAGCCATAGCATGTACATGTACGCTCTAATGTAGAGCACACAAGCCCGCAAATGACCACAGCGCCACCTCTGCGGGGATAGAGCATAGAGCATGAACGTCCATAGGGGTCGGGGGGTGGACTGACAATGGGGGGCGAGATTGGGCCGAGTGACGCCCCATGCCCCACCCATTCGTTCGTGGCTCCCTGTTTTCTTGCCACCAATTTCATACTGCATTCGCTCATCAGCGGTTACGAGATGACGAGTGGAAGGGGGGCGTAGTTACAGGTTTGGATGTATGTACGTAGTTTCACTAATCTGGCTCTGGTTTTGAAGTCTAGCCTGTTACCTGTCAGCGAGTTCATGGTATGTGGGTACTAGGTGTAAGTATCTCCTGTTCCGGTCGGCAAGAGGGGGTACTCGCCGTGATTAGTCCGTTATTGGGCCGAGAACGACAGCAAGAAGAAGATGATGATGATGATGATGATGATGAAGAGGAGAGAGCTCTCTCGAAAACCGCGTGCAGTAAAGTGCACAAACCAGTTTCGCACCTCCGTTACGCGCGCGCTGAGCTGCGCTGCGCTTTCGGGCGGAGACTGTGAAATCCGATCCCCACTGACCGGGAAGTTTGGAATGCTCTAGAATGTGGCAGAAAGGGGGATGGAATGCAAGTGCAAAAGCTTGCACACCGGTGGGCGGTGCTCTCGGTTTTCCTCCCTCCGTCCCGAGCGCGAATACAAGGTCAGAGGTATGTGCGAGTCTGTGAGTGATGTGTGATGATGCTGTAAGCGCCAGCCACAGGCCAACGTGGCTTGCGTGCAGCTGCCACATGCCACGGGCCACAGGCCCAGTCACTGTTGCCCTGGGCGGGCGCGTACGCTCCCACTTCCATCCATATCCAGCACGCTCGCGCCCAACAGCTGTCAAAGGGGGGAGGGTCGGTCCTTACCGCTGGGTCGAATCGTGATCTGTGGTTGACACGTTAGATCTGGGACAGCCTTATGCAAGAGATGCATATGTAACATGGCATTTTCGCTCTGGGTATGCAGGAAGTATGTATGTAGGCGCCGGGGAGAGGGTAAAAACAATTCTCCGTGGTGGGTGATGGGTGATGGGTGCTGGGTGATGGGGGTGGGATACTTTTGCCGCTGGGTTCATATGTATGCGCTGGAATGAAGCTTGACGCTGGAGTTCATTAGTACACAGCTTATGACTGTTGTGGCTGAGGCACGGTCGAGATGTTGCCGCTGAGAGATCGGGCTTGGACAGCCTTGTTGCTGTCCGCCGTCCGGTCCTCGTGCGGTCCATCGTCCGGTCCTCGTGCGGTCCATCGTCCGGTCCGTAGGTAGGGTCGACCGGCCTACCTGCCTATGCGCCTGCCCCTGACGTGAGAACTAAGCACACATGTCCGTGCGGTAACAAGTAGGTAGAGTGACTACGTATGCACACTCTATGGTACGTGTAGAGTATGTACTCTATGTAGCATAGACAGACGCTCATCATGCTCGGGTACTTCGGTTGCCGTAGCGAGTGAGGGAAGGAAGTAAGCAAGCAGCAAGCAAGCTGCAACGGTGACATGATCCGATAGGCGCTGCATCAGCGCCGAAGCGAAATGAGGTCTCGGTCTCGGTGCCTGGGGGGAGGGGGAGGGAGAGGGGGAGGGGGAGGCGCAACGAAAAACAGGGCGAACGAACGAATGTCGAATCCAGCATTCGTTTCAAGTTTCGTCCTACAAATTACAATCCTCATTGGGAATTCGAAGTAGAGTACGGTATGTAAACTGCAGTCCATGTGAGATGATACCTAGATCGGGCTGAGTCGAAACCTCAACGGCCGTCGCTCGTTCGTCCAACACTACCTTGTAGGAGTAGTACTCACACACATGTGGAAATGTTCGGCTCCGGAACGGTTTCAGGCCCACATTGGGCTGTTGCAACAGACTCGTGTTTCTCCGTCCTCTGTGTGTGTGGGCGAGTGTGTGAGTGTGTATGAATGTGTGTGTGGGCGGGGCGGGGCGGAAGGGATGGTGAGTTAGCATAGAAAACTAGCTGCCGGGTAGGATCAGATCAGCATTGTTGGTGTTGGAATGGAGGTGTATGCATTACGCCAAGGAGATGATGAACAGCAAGTACATAAAAAAAAGTAAGTAGGATACTGCTACTCCTCGGAGGGGTTAGTAGTTGGCGATAGGATTTTCGAGTTTCGTGCGTGTAGGCGATTGGCGAGAAAATGACCTGTTTCAACATGATCATCAATTACGGGTGGCACGGGGGCACGGAGGGCATGTGCTCGCAATGGCAGGTCCCCAGGTGTCTCCACGGCACGGTTGGAGTTGAGCTGCTATACTCGTACAGAGTTACTCCGTAGTGCAGTTTCTCCATAGTACACACGAGGCTGTGGCTATTGTTCCTCGGACTCGAACGCGTACTCTACATAACTCTACTGGAGTATAGCCGAGCACCCCACATAGCGAGGCGAGGCGAGGCGAGGCAGGTCGGCAATCCGGGAAGGAAACACCGGAGGCGACTCGGCACTTTGCGCGAGTGGCTTCCGCCGCACTGCACTACGCGGGATTTGAAATGAAGATTTCAAGAAAGACGATAAAATACGCCCGTTGGAGCTCAGCCAACGAGAATTGGCATTGCGAATACTCTAGTTACTGCTCATTTCGCTCTCGTCGAAACGACACTTCGGGGGGGGGGGGGGGGGGCATCTCGGCTGGCTGGCTGGGCTGGCTGGGCTGCCATCGTGACTTTTCTTTCTTTTTTGATCGATACACAAGTAGCGTTTCCGAGCCGTGTGTCAATTCACTGCGGCCTGCGGGCTTGGTCGCATGCGGATGAGATTCTGAGCACAATGACAAAAGAAAGGAAAGCAAAGTAGAGAAGTGCAGAGCAGAGCACAGTGGAGTAGAGAAGTGCAGAAAGATGGAGGTTGGCTTATACTGCGTAGCTGAAGTGCAGTTACAGTATGTACTACCAGTACTATCATATCTGGTGGCAGACACGAGATCTCTGAGTATTACCGTAGAGTAGTTGGTGGTATGAAGGCAGGAGAGATCTCAGCATCACGGTAGTATTATCATAGAGTAGCCGGTGAGGCAGAGAGATCTTCAAGCATTGCGGTAGCCGGTAGTAATACTCTACCTAGGCAGGCGAGACCTCCGAGCAGCACGGTACTAGCAACTAGAGCAGCGGTGATAGGCAGGCGAGATCTCCACCGTAACGAGCGTCGCTGACGTGCCTCGTCTCGTTTCCCGCCAAGGTTGGCACTGTTCTCGCGCATCAAGCGTCCTCGCGCATCAAGCGTCCTCGCGCATCAAGCGTCCTCGCGCATCAAGCGTCCTCGCGCGTCAAGCGTCCTCGCGCATCAAGCGTCCTCGCCAGTCTCGCGCGACAGGAACTACGGGAAAAAGCTCACATTCACATTCACAGCTCAGCTCGAAGAAAAAGACGAACCCCTACGATCACTCTACTCACTCAACTCACTCTACTCACTCTACTCACTCTACTATACGGTACGGCCCATCTCCTCGTCCGCGTGCCTACCAGGTAAGTACCTAAAAAGTACCTAGTTGTTTCTCGCATCGCAATCAATCGATCGCCAACTCCAACTCCAACTCCAACCGGCAGCCTTTTTATTCCCTCATCTCCAACGCTGCCCGTCCGTTCCCCCCATCCATCCTTTCCGATTCCGACCGTGGGGCCATGCACGCTGGATGGAGGCAAGTCGTCCGTGTTGGAAATGTATGCTATGTACCAAGAAGGGACGGAAGGGTAGGGAAGGTCGGTAGATACGGTAGATACATGGACATTGGAAAGTAACTACGCTGGATTCTTCGCTCTCTCTCACGCCTGATGCGTGATCTCTACCTCATCGGGAAGAGCATGTCGATAGTTAGCCGGGACTTACCACGCGTCGACCAACCAACTGCGACTTCCGCCCACCACCACCTCCAGAACCACCAGCACCACCAGGAAGTCGAGTGTTCACCCGACCAGCAGCCAACCAGATCGCTCGCTCTGCTTATTCTGCTTTCAGCTTCCCTCTTTCGCATGAACGACTCCGCACGCCATCCGGAGGCCATCCGGAGGCCATCAATAACCTCACCCTTCGGGCGGGGAAGGGTGCAAGAAGCCAGACAGGATTGCTGCGAAAGCCAACGAGGTAGGTGCCCGACAGGATACATTGGCAGGCAAGTATCTACCGTACAATGTAGATAATTATGCGCGGGCGTAAGTACTATCATAGCAACTACCATGATAATCTAGAGCCGTAGAGCAGTCAACCAGTAAAACGCGGCAGAAAAGGCAGTCGCTGCACAGCCTGCGCTCAGGTCCAGGTGTTGCGATAAGGCTTACCCGAATACACTATCCACACTCCCCCCCCCTCCCAACCCCGGCTCGTATGTAGTGTACACATGCACACGGATAAACACTCTATCTGCCACGGAACGGTGAGTTCTGTCCGACACGGTCGTTGCGGTTGCTCCAATCGCTGCACGAGATGCCCGACGATGAGAAAAAAAACCAACCAACAAACCAACCAAACAACCAAGCAACGGCGGAGACCGAGCAACATCGGGCTCTTCATCTAATTGTCGTGGGGAAGGGTGGGGGGGGGGGGGGGGGGGGTGAGGGAGGGTAGATGCGGCCAACATTTGTGGCCGAGATGGGGATCATTGCTGTTGCACTGACCTAGAGTACTCATGAAAATCAACTAGGGAGGCAGCTATCATTTCGCCAACTATCATCTACGTGCACCTGCGGCGACGATGAGATCCAATCGTATCGCCTCGCCTCGTCTCTCCTCGCCTGGTCTCGTCTCGTCTCGTCCGGTCTGGTCTCGGTTGGTCTTGTCGTCGCTGCCGTGTTCCCCGGGGGCTATGTACCGGTATTAGTTGCTCCTATGTAGCTGTTCTGGAGGGAAGGCCAGCTACTATCCTCTTGTGTGCTGACTCCGCGGTGGGGTACTACGTACAGTGCATTAGCGTGTGTACACATTCGCGTGGACAATTCAGGCCAGTAGTAGTATAGTGTATTGAGATAGGTTCGCTGCCAAAATACACTATACTACTGCTGGCCCTGAATTCAAAACACTATACTACTACTGGCGTGAATTGTCCACGCTAATGCACTGTACACACGCTAATGCACTGTACGTAGTACCCCCCCCGGAATGCCACCCAAGGGGATAGTAGAGGAGCCACTACGGAAACGAAGAACGGAAGTCTGTGCACGACGCTGCAAATCAGCACATCACATCACATCACAGCACAGCACATCAATCACGGCAAGATACGAGGGTTCTCCGAGGGGGGGGGGGGGTGCGCATTTCGAGAAAGAAAGAAAGACAGAAGGAAATGTCATGCATGCATCGCTGAGGATCCTTGCAGCGCTGTGCAGTGCCGTGCGTGCGTGCAGTGGGGTGGGGTTGGCTTGGGGTGTGATGGGACTCGGTGGGCTCGGAAAGGCCTGCATCGACAGGATCTCACGTGCAGCTGCGAATGTCTTGGTCGCGGATGAGGAGGACGAGGATGAGGGGTATGGAGGGGTGTGGAGGAGGAGGTGGTGGTGGTGGGTGGGCGTGTGCGGGTGTATGAGTGTGTGGGTGTATGATGAGGGAGAGGGAGGCGTGTTTCGCGTTGGTCTCTGAGCGGAAGGGAAGGAAGGAAAGCATTGGCTCGCTCGCTCGGCACCTACCTACTCTGCGCATGAGATGAGACCTTAAAGATTGAGGCGTGTGTTCCGGACTCGCCTCTCGCCTCTCGGCTGAGAGTCGTCTCTCGCTCGTGATCGGAATGGTGGCAACCGCCTCCCAGTGCCAGGCTCCCAGTGCGGCGTCTGTAGCCGGTCTGTGGCCGGTGAACAGTGAACGGCGAGTGGAAATCCCCCCAGGTAGGTAGGTCGGTACTGTATTCTCTCGAGTGGATCCATCATCTTCGCGCTTCGAGCTTGCTGCTTTGCCGGTGGCGTTCCGGCGCTCCGACGCTCCGCGCATCTCGCAGCGATCGTCGCTATCATCTATGCACTACATAGGCGCGCTGACGGGAGCGGATGCGGGTAGGGATGCGAAACATTATCGCGTAATCTCCATCATTCCGCGATTCCAGGTTTCTAGGATTCAACGATGCCGCGGGAACTTGGAAGGAATAACCATCCCCTTACATACCCGCTCCCTCCCGGTTTCCACCTGGCGGTTGCCGCTAACTTGCCACTGTCCGAGCGTAAAGCGTAGGCGCCAGCGCGCAAGCCAGAGGCGCAGAAGTAAACATTACGGTACATATGTCTCTGCGCCAGCGTCAGATCTACATATTCTAGCCGTGCTCAAACAAGTTACAAGCCGACACTGCTACCAAGTATGCACTGCACTCCGCATTCCTCCCGCTTGACGCGCGGACCGGTCACCGGATTATGCGAGGCAGCGCGATAACGTCGGTAATTATGCTTACCATGCTAGAGAGTACGGACCGGGACGGCTTTTGCTTTTACTGCTTCTTACACACAGTGCTACCTACCTAGGCGGATATGTACTCCGCATTCTTTGCACTTGACGCGCGCGCGGGAAGGATTATGCGATGGCAGATGCAGTGCGATAACTGAGTAAGAACTTACTATATCCGGGCCGGGTCGGCTTTTGCTTTTCTCAGCCTTCTCGGCGTGGCAGTTCGCCTATAAGTAGTATGCATACGCGTGGGTACGGGATGCTCCCTGCCTATACTACAATATGGATGTGCTGATGATATGGGTCGTGGCGACGTCTCGGCTATTGGCAGTGGTGGAGCAGGTGCTTGGGGAGGTCCTTAAGCAGGTAGATACCTAGAGCGAGTAAGGAAGTCCTCTATGTATGTAGGGAAACGCAAAGCCCCATCACATCACATCGCATCGGTAGATTTTCTTCTTCTCGTTGTTTTTCATGGAATTCTCGTTCTTCTTCTCGTTCTTCTTCAGCGCGCAGGGATGCTCGGCTTCGGCCAGCATCGATTGATCGAGAGCGTGCATACTACCCCCCGGTAGTAGAGCTGTGGAATATCGAACCTGGGCATTCAGGGCCCCGGCACTCTGGGATACCTACTGGTATGCTCTCCCTCTCTCGGTCGCTATGTACTCCATCGCCCGGCACCGAGACTCGATCGACGAGGTTCCGGGGGCGGTGAGCGCGCGCAAAATAATGTTTATCGCATCGCATCGCATCGCATTCGCGGTATTGGATCCGACCTTCGGAGGGGGGTATGCACAGTGAAGCGGAGTGGAGTGCAGCTGCTGCATTTCACCCCGGAAATGTGAATTGAATGCGAACGAAATGCGAACGAAATGTGAATGGTTTGTGAAAGGCTGCTTGTTCGGCACCGCATCGGCATCCATCCTACAGTGCCGGTGGTGCGTGCGCAGAGTATGGTAGGTATATTGAGCCCGGCCGGCTGAGGAATGAGATGCGGCGATACGATGCGGAGTGACAATTCCTTCCTTTCCTTCCTTTCCATTTTTCTTCCTGCAGAGGTTCGGTAAGTACTCTACGCACACCTCCGCGATGCCTCACTGTATAGTAGGTATGCACACCTACCTCATACCTCATACATATCTAGAGTACCTACCGAGTTACCGGGAAAGCGGTGAGGCATTGGCTGCCGATATATTGCTCATCTGGGTTTTTACTCGCGGAATCCACCATCTCAACATATTGAACTACGGCAGTGAATGCAGGGATTTTTTACTGCCCACTGAAGAAGCCTATGGGATTCAATTGCCAAATCTAAGCGGCGGTGAGAATTGAATATGCCATCTACATGCGCTACATGCATAGTGGCGGTGGTGGTGGTGGCTGCGATGCTACCTAACATATTCACGCCGACGAGGCTGCGAGGCTGGCTGGCCCTGCCTTTCTTTCCTTTCCTACCTGCGACCGCCGACCACCATCACTGCGATAGCAGGCAGAGTACTCTACTTTCTTACACGGTCGCCGTGATGCCAAACTCGGCATGTAGCCACATCCTCAGAAGAAGCACCTTTGCTTTCTGATTGGTCAATTCCTCCTGCAGACTCCAGAGCACGCACACACATAACACGAGCGTTCACTGCGTTCGCTGCACGGGACGTTGCAGAGCGCACCATGATTGGCTGCTTATTATATCCCTAGCCCAGCTATTCTATTCTTCTATTACCGACCTACCCAAGTCGAGACTACTAGAAAGTGCAAAAGTGTGGCCGGCGGCTAATCCGCACGCACCACTGGCCCAGCAGCACCCCAGCAGCCCGACACAAATTATTATTGGCCCGTGAATTTCGAAAGTTGAGTAGAAAGTCGCATGTCGACCGTTATCCCCATTCGGACCAAGTGCCGCCGCCGTTCGTCGGTAGCGAGAATCGCGAGAATCGAGCGGAGGCCGTGACGTCGATTTCGGTGAGCAGGAGGATCCGGGAGGAGGAGTCTTCGACTGCGTCTGCTTCGGGGACCCTGACGCGACCGCGCGCGGAAGGAGGGGGGGAGAAGAAAGAAAAAATCTTCTGCCGCGAGCGGGAAGGGTTTCGCATCAGGATTTGGAGGGCGCTGGTGAAACCTGCGAGTTGTGACTTGCTGAACCGGTGGGGCGAGGTGTTCTGTGGACTGTGCCCACTGCCCACGTGAGGGCGTGGAAACGCTCGTTGCCGCTGTCGTCGACTTCGGTCGTACTTGCCCAGCATTGGCCAGTGTGGAGATTGAGATTTGACCATCATTGCCGTCGACATCCAGACTCCCAGCGGAACGTACGTTTCCCGCATCATCATCGGCAGCAGGAGCAGCAGCAGGAACGGCGATGTCATCTCGCCCGCCCGCCTGGATGTACCTACCCCAAACGAAACCTTCTTCTGCCTCCACCTCCCAGCGAGCTCCCACTCACAGCGAGCTCCCACGCGCAGCGGTACCGGTACATGCTCTACTGGTGTAGTCGGCGGTACGTACTCTGCCGGTGGGCTCTGCTGGTGGACGCTGCGGGCTGCAGGTTCCCTACCTACAGTATGTGCGGTATGGATGTACGGAACGTGCTTCGCTAGGTAGAGTAGAGTAGAGTAGAGTACTTCCCTACTGCCCTATGCCGACTCGACAGATGCAAAGTTCAAACAGGGCTCGGCAGAGTCATGGGATGGAGGGCTCGTACCTACGCTGCTAGAGTAGAGTATCGCCGGCGGAGAAAGCCCGTTCGCCGTGACAGACAGCCCTCCCTCGCAATCCACTCTCCACCCGCAATCCACTCTCCTCCCGCAATCCACCTAATCCGCCCCAATCACACCCGAAAACGCACCAACCGCCTTGAGCGACGATGCGGATCTTGGGCTGCAGATGGCAGTTTCCCAGGTTCTCCATATCATATCGTATGTATGTAGAGTACCTGTGCAAAGTAAGTAGTCGGACATGCATCGTGGGACCGCACCGGGCTGGGTATGTGTGTATGCACGTAGAGTAGAGAAGTGTGTGGAGTGAGTGCGCACACCCTCGATGGTTTTTCTTCTTTCTTTCTCTTCTTTCGCAGAATGTATGTGCTTTCTTTGCTTTTCGGCCCGAACTTCGAACGGAGGGCCAGGCCAGTCAACCACAGACAGCACGACATCCGTCTAACTGGAGTCTAGAGTAAATACAGCAGGCTGCTGTGATGCAGCGACGATGCTTTTTATTTTGTCCGTTTTAGAGCTGGCTCTCTGTCTCGCTGCCATCCTCGCCGTCTCCGTCATTGTCTCCATGCCTGTCTCCACCTCCGTCTCCCCCACCGGTGGACTACAACCCGCCCTCATACTCTTCGCCCATTCGTCCTCGAGCAAAAGACGTTAATCTGTCCCTCCCCCCCATCCCACCCCCAGCCCCGGTCTGAGAGATAGAGGGGCTGCAATGCACTTGGTGCGAGCAATGCGGCCCAACCAACAGTGTGCCGTGCAAGCAACCTGCGGGCGCTTAACCCCCCCTGTCGCATCTTCAGATGTGCGAGCCAATCCGAATCCTGGCTGCTGTTTCTCCACCGCACACCACCACCAACCATAAACCCAACAACAACGATGCTGGCACCTAGGCTGGGCGGCGGAGGGTGGGTGGTGGGTGAGTGGGGGGGGGGGGGTGGTGCCTCGTCACCGAAGTAGAGCAGAACCGAGTTGCGCTCTCGCCCTCGCCCGGGGAGGGGAGTGGGCGAAGGCACGCAGGATGTCGGGCTGCGCGGATCGCCTTGAGCAAGCAACCAACGCTGGCCGTGGCTGGAGCAGAGAATCCTCTGCTGCCTCTCCCACCGCCCGCATGCTCGAGGGAAAACTGGAAGAAGACGAAGAGATGGAAATAAGAAACGACGAAAGCACGAAGACGACAGACGAAAGGACAAGAAGAAGAAAAGAAGAAACAAAAGAAGAAAAGAACAAGAAAAAAAGAAACCAAAGAAGAAAAGAACAAGAAGAAGAGGGAAAAACATAGAAGCGCGAACTGCGATCACGCACGCTTACCGTGCTGTTCGGCCACACATCTCGAACCTCCCAAGCCCCAAGTGTGGCACCAGCCTTCTTTCGATCTCCCCCCTCAGCGCCAAAGGACATCGCAATGGGGGGAAGAGTGACCTCGACGTTGATGGTGGACTCCGTATATAGACGACGAACGGCCGCCGCATACACACTCGAAATACATACCAACATCACACCCACATTCGCTTTGACACTGCAAGCAAGACCATCGCCCATCTGTCCACTCAACCACACACTCTCTTTCTCCCAGCCAACCAGCAACACGGATAGCTGTCTGTCTGTACTCTACCAGCATCCTGCCCCACCCCCTCGGCCATCCCCCCCAAACCCACCACCCATCCCCCCAAATACCACGCCCCCATCCCTACCAGCCTAGCGTTCTACCCACACCTGAGCGCCTGCAGCCAGCGTAGTACATAAGCCTACCACCCCCTCACCCGCCGTATCGAAAAGAGTCCTGCGCCGTACTCTTTCCGCCTGAATATAATCACCATTTCTTCCCTCACTGCTTTGCTGTGCTTTCTGTTTTTATTCTGCAGCTTCGTCGTCGTTTCCAGCAAACCAGCAAGCGAATCTGTGCAGTCGACATTGTCCATCGCTACTACTACCACCACCACTACTCACTCCTCCCTCCAGCAGGGCCAAGTCCATCCTTCTCCAAGTTGTATCTGGCTGTACAACGGTGAAAGGCAAGTGGACTCCACACCATCAGAGGCTTACGATAGCCGTTCCGGAACGACTGTGATCGTACGCGAAAATATTAAAGAAATGGTGAGCGAACTCACTCATACCGATCGGCAACTACAGTGCTGATCACTCGCTTGCTTCTAGGCCTCTTCGTCTCTACAATTCCGCCGTTCCCAGACGAACGGCAACACCGCCATTCCTCCCCGTCTACTGTCAATGGGCCGGCGCCCATCGCGCCCGGTCTCCAATGCCACCTCGATCGACAGCATGTCTGACGCCGAGGAGCAGCAGCCGTCGCGGAGGAAGTCGGCGCAGCACGGCGGCGGCTGGCAGTCGAGGAAGCAGTCGCAGGTCATGCGCCACGCCGAACAGGACGATGTGTCCGATGCCGAGAGCTTCGACAGCTTGAGCTCGCGCGCAAAGTTCATGAGCGATCTGCTGAGCGACAGCGACTCGGCCTTCTCGGAGGGCCGCAACTCCATGACGTCCATCTCGTCGTACGGGCCGGACACGCCAAAGACTCCTGCGCCGGAGTACATGAACGATGGATACATTGAGATCTATGATGAGAAGACGCCAAGGGAACGCGCTGTCTCCATGGAGGTTACCGGGTCGATGCAGATGCAGATGAAGGAGATGACCACGCAGGGCCCTAGGGGACCGCACTTGTTCAGATCGTTCTCGACGAGCCATGCTTCCAAGATCTCCACTAACCATATCTCGCTCCCGACCCTGTCGATACCTTCGACTCCCATTGTGGATGGTCGTTCGCCATCGACCCGTTCGCCTTCGGTCCGCACGCCATCGCTCCGATCGCCGTCGGTGCGCTCGCCATCAGTCCGCTCTCCGTCGGTGCGATCGCCTTCGGTCCGCTCGCCGTCGCTCCGTTCGCCGACGGTACACTCGCCATCGCTCCGCTCGCCGTCCACCCGCCACAGCCACAGGTTCTCTTATGCCTCGTCGGCCGATGAGGGCGAGGAGATCATGATCATGCGGCCGCAGAGCGAATGCTTTTTCGACACCGACGCGGTGCGAGGATGGGCTACCTTCCAGGTGTGTAGGTGGATGGCTGCGCTGTTTGACCAGGAGATGGTCGACGCCTTTGCACAGAACGACATCACCGGAGCGATCCTGATCGATCTGAAGTGGGAGGATCTGAAGGAGGTTTGTTTGACACTTTTTTCTTTTTCGTAAGCGAAGGGCTGACATCGAAATATAGTTGGGTATCCACTCCTTCGGTAAGCGCACCGAGCTGTGGACGGAGATCAACCACCTCCGTGCCGCAAGCCTGCCTACGCCGGACCGTGCCGAGTTTGTGCAATCTTCCGCCAGGCTGTGCCGCAGCGGCAGTGTCAACTCCACACGCACCGTTTCGACCCCTCGCCTCGCCCAGACCCCAAGGATGCGCTCCAACTCTTCGGTTTCGGTCGGCTCGCAGATGATGACCGCCGATGAGTTCGAGTCCATGATCCTTCCCGATCTTCCCGTGATGCCTCAATCCGCTCGGTCGGCCCGGTTCCCCTCGATGTCGAGGCAGTCGCACCCCCAATCCGGCCTTCAACAGCAGATGGCTTCCCCGATGATGGAGCAGCTCCCGGCCGTGACCATGAAGTGTCCCTCCGAGCCCGATATCGTCTCCGAGGCCGACGAGGAAGGTTCCGACGACGGTCCTCGCCAACGTACCCGCCCCCAGGTGCGCAAGAAGAGCAAGCGCATGCAGGTCCGCATGCCTCAGCGCACCCTTGCCGTCGACTCGATCATCATCCAGTCCGACGACGAGGCGCCCGGTGGATACGTCGCCAAGATCGAGGCCATGACCTCGTTCGAGAACAGCCGTCCCATTGGACGCAGCAGGAGCAAGCGCGAGAGCTTAGCGCCATCCGACTCGGTGTCCCTGAGGGCTGCCCGCAAGTACAGGAAGAAGTCGGATGAGCCCAAGGCTCACAACTGCAAGAAGGGTGACCGGTGCCGCAAGCACGGAAAGCAGGCGCAACTGACCGCCAAGACCAAGACCACCACTCTGAGGAGAAGGATCAGGTCCGAAGTGGTCTCCGATGCCGGAACCATCCTCATCGCCACCACTCCCAGCATTGCCGCCTTTGACAACGAGCCTCTGCCGATGCTCGAGTCGATCGCTTCCGGGTCGCCCCGTCCCCAGAGCTACAGCCCCAGCATCATCGCATCCTCGGATGCCCTGGGCCAGTTCAACCGCAGCGACATCCGACTCAAGGAGAGCGTCCTCCGTGAGGTTTCTCGCCTGGATCCCCTGGACAACGTCAGGAAGTTCCTTACCCACCAGCACTTGCAGCACATGGAAGAGCGACGAACATCTCCCCCTCCCGTGCCCAACAAGTCTCAGGATGACATGAACCGTGCTCAGCGCTCGACTCCTTCCCCTCCTCCCGTCGCGCGTGAGATGTCCATCCCTCCTCACTCCGCAGGCTACCCTTCCTACGCCGCCCAGAGCCGCCTCGCCGCGATCCCGGCGGCGTCGCACCAGTCGGTACCCATGGCTGCCGCCGCAGCGGCCCAGCTACCCAGGTCGCAGACCACCCCTCCCGTTCGGTCTCAGACTCCATCCTGCGGTCTCCGCATCCAGGGTATGGAGCAGGTTGTTCCCCCATACGCGAGCAGCATCTCGAGCGTCTCCGCGCGCGGCCCCATGATGCGCACTACCACCCCCTTCTCGGAGGCAGACGTCCCATGCCCGACCGGCACGCCCGTCAACTTCCGCGACCAATCGCAGTCCGTGCCGCCAGACGCGCACTACCGCCGCTTCCCCACGCCGACCCTCGAATCTCTCACCGCACCCATCATCCCCGCCGGCCCTCGCTCCGCGCCCCTCCGCCCCACCCACCTCAACATCGTCGACGAGAACGCCGAGTGGGAGGCCGTAGACGAGGAGCCGAAGATGGCGCCGTCGCCCAGCATGCGCACCCACTCCGGTTGGATGAAGAAGCGCCGCACAAACTGGTTCCGCCACGAGTGGCCTGACCACCACTTTGTCCTCCGCGGCACACGCTTGGGTTACGCCCGCGACGTCGGCGTCTCCGAGGAGGGCGCTATCGATATGGATCAGTACCAGGTCGCGTGCTCTAACTCTGGCAGCACGAAATTGTCTGCCGCGTTTAAGGCCGGTCGCATCTTTGGCAAGAAGAAGGAGGATGGCACGCCTGGCTCGTACTTCTTCCAGCTTGTTCCGGCGAATGATGCCAGCAAGGGCGGAAAGAAGAGTTTGGGCAAGGTTCACTGCTTTGCCGTTGGGAGTCGCGAGGAGCGCATCGATTGGATGCGTGAGCTCATGCTCGCTAAGGCGATTAAGCAGAAGGGCCAGGGGTTCGAGGTCGAGGTCAATGGTGAGCGCGTGTAGATTGTCACACTTTTTTCTTTCTTTTGTTTTTGGTTTTCAGTTTGGATTTGGATTTTGATTTGGCTTCGGTGCACGTATGTTGGATCATCATAGCGACGGATCTGTTTTGGCTTTTGTTTGACGCTCCACTTTGTTTACTTCTTCACTTCGCTTCTTCTTCTTTCTGCTTCTTTTTGTTCTTCTTTTCGATTCTTGTTCTTCTTGCGTGTAGTGTAGTTAGGACGGGTTAGGGATGGGACGATGTGGATGAGTTACGGGCAGTTGTTTGTTTTTCTATCTATTTTCTGTTTCTGTTTCTTTGTTTGTTTATGGTTGAGATGGGGATAGGGGACGGGGCTTGGGGGGCTTGGAGCTTTTTTCTTTCGGTCTGGGATCGGGGATACTTGGATATTTGGATTTGGATTTGGGGCGGGTTATTTTTTTTCTGTAGGAGAGGTCCGGTTTGGCGTTTACTTCACTTTATGATATTTTTTTTTCTACTTCGATTCGTGGTTGTAATTGCAGATGCTCGTGGATACGGGAACTCGAGATGGTTGTTTTTTTGATTTCTACGATGGATACTCGGAGGCTTGGGGGTTTGGATACTTGGACGTTGGACTTGGGATGTTGGGTAGGAGGTGTGCGAATATGGGAATAGGTATGGGAATATGGGAAGATAGGAATGTGGGGATATGGGAATATGGGAATATGGGAATATGGGAATATGGGAATATGGGAATATGGGAAAAATCAATTGCGGTCTGTTTAAAGTTTAGATGTTTTCTTTGCAGAATGAATCATGATACCTAGGAAGTCCCTTTTTCCGCTCTTTTCTCGTCACTCGTGATGCAGGTGGTGACCGACCAGACTTCGAGTTTTCGGTCGAAGACTTAAGACTCAAGTCTGGAGAAGGTTGGATCGAATTCACCAGGCACGTGCTATCACGGTGCCAACTACCGCTAGTCGCTAGATCTCTAGGTATTTTTAACCACAACCGCATGAGGCTATTGATAGCCCAACTCGAATGGAGTCTGAGACATGCGATAGTTACATATCTAGCGCGGACCGCGGTGTGGACCGCGGTGTGCACTCGATGATTCGCTGGATCAAAGCGGGCGCCGGGCGGGTATTTGTGTATTTTTAGATCCGCGCAGATACTTGTGGGTCGTGGGTGCTCATTGGTCAGTATACATATAGCCAGTGGTAGATGAGTCATGGACTCGTGGTCGGTGGTTATTGGTTATTGGTCAGTGGTTACTGGCGAGAGCTGGGAGCGGAGGAATGCTGCGAATCTTGCGATGGGACAGCCAGCGTCTCGCTGAAGTCCCGAAGCGAGGCGATAGCGCGCGTTTGGAGGAACCGCTTCCACTTCCGCTACTAGTACCGCTAATGTTACCGGGTCCGATGGAAGAGTTGGGGGGCAAACGGGATGGTAATGGTGGTATGGTGCACTGTGTACTGTGTAGACGTCGGTATGTAGATGGCTTGTAGATTATCCATTATCGAGTGCACGTACCCAGACTCCAACATAGAGGACGAGACCCGTCGCTTAGCATTGCCGACCAACAACCTACGGGGCGAACAAGCTCTGTTCCTCCGTCCCTCCGTCCCTCTGTCCCTCTGTCCCTCCTTGATCGGCCGGCATGGGCACGAATCCCGTCCTCCTCCTCCGGCCCTGGCACCGACGGAGAGCAGGCGACAGTGGCGACAGTGGCCACAGGCAGGCACGATGTGCATTGGAATGTCTGCCCCGGGCCCCGGTGGTAGGTTGTATCGAGCACAGTCTTGCAGTCTGGTAGTCAGGCATGGGCGCTCACTCGGTTGCGCTTGAGCGCGCGAGTGCTCGCACGTGACGGGGACCGGTTCGTGCGATGGCGTGGTTGTTCTACATCGTATCCCGCGCGCCCCCGCTCCGCCCTCCCCCACGTAGTTGTATGTATGTATGTGGTGAACAAACAAGCCTCACCTTCTCTATGTATGTACTCGAGTACACACAACAGCCGGTCGACGCTGCATTATGCGTATGTACATAAGTCCTCTAGTCCGGACTCCGCTTATCGCCACGTGCCAACTACCAAGTACCGGTACTTATGCGGTCATGCCAGCGGCCGGCCGCGCCACCTCGATACGAAACTCCGCAAACCCGCAAACGCCGCAGCCGCCCCCACTGGCTAGAGAGAGCCTGGGCACATCCACGGCGGGGTAAATACTCTACTAATAATCCTTCATGCACACGTATTTATTCCGCCGTACGCGGCAGGAAAATGCAGCCGATATCGATATGTACGGTGTACCTACAGGCCTACAGCACTTGCAGTGGAAGTTTGGGCCTGCATCGATAGCGGTCGGAACCGGGGTTGCGCATTTCTCGGGGGTGCTCGGGGTTATGATGGCAATCGTGAGTCGTAAGGGCGGCAATCCCATGTGACGATGCGCGGGATCTGCTGATGATTGCGTGCAGAAATGGCGTGGAGTATGTACCTACGTAGGCCGCAGATATGATGGACTCTGCTTTTGCCGCTTGGCGGGGTTCGATTGGTCGACGCTAGGTAGTAGCTATCGCTCTGCAGTCTGCCGCGTGTAATTGGCTATTGCCGTTCACTCCGTATGTACATATTGTACATAGACGTCGGATGTGGGCCGCCAAGAGCATGCGGATGTACTTGCGGATGTATCTTGTCCTGTGCCGATTGGAAGGCCGCGTCCGTTCGTAGGAGCATATGGGGACCTGCTGCGAGGGCCAACCGAGGTAGTTATGTACCTGTATACGTATCAGGACTGCCAGCATGAGCTAACTGACCCCTCGCATGCTCGCATTCCTGGTCTCGTCCAGCTCCAGCTCACGCTCATTCATCGACCAGCTTAAAGAGCGGTCCATTCCTGGCGTCAATTCTCCTCCGCTGTTGCGCTCACCGTCCCCATCCATTCCGCCGCAGCTATGTCCCTCACCGCCATAGCCACCGAGATCCTCAAGCACGCACAGGCGCTCGACGTCTACATCGCCGAGCACGACCTGCCGCAGCCGTCGTTCGACCGTGATGGGCCAGCAATGTTCCCGCTGCCCGGGCACGCCCCCGACAGCCTCCACAAAGCCCGGACCGCCTTGATGGACGCCTCCAAGACCATCTACGATCTCACGGAGGGCCCGACGAACTCGGTGATGTGGGGGTCAATCGCGGTAAGTGTCGCTCGTGGTGATGTAGGGGAGCACTAGGACTGACGGTCGGAACAGAACCACTTCACGTCGATGACGCTGCGCGCGCTGAACAGCTTCTGTGTGGCGGATGCGGTACCGCTGACGGACGAAGGCGCCTCGTACGCCGAGATCGCGGCGGCGACCGGCGTTGACGAGGAGGTGATCACGCGCATCGTGCGCCACGCCACGACGATGCGGATCTTTGACGAGTTCTGCCCGGGCCGCGTGCGGCACACGGCCAGTTCGCGGGCCATGAAGGAGAATCAGCTGCTGAAGGAGGCGATGAAGCCGTGTCTTGAAGAGGGATTCCAGTCTGCTGCGCATTTCAATGAAGCCGTTGCCAAGTTCGGCGGCGTCGAGGAGTGCAAGACTACCGCGTTCAATATCGCGTTCGATACCGACGATAATTATTTCACCTTCATCCAGCGCCCCGAAGAGCAGCACCGTGGGAAGTACCTGGCCGGCATGATGAGGTACATGTGGAAGTACGGGGGCACCGCGGGGAAGAGCCATACCGCCGAGGAGGTGCTGGCGGGTTTCGATTGGGCGAAACTGGAGGGAGGATTGGTCGTCGATGTCGGGGGATCCCACGGCTCGGTCGAGGCGGCCCTCGCCCCACTACACAAGGAGCTCAAGTTCATCGTGCAGGATCTTCCGCCGGTCGTCGAGCTCGCGTCCGCCAACTTCAACCAGCTTCTGCCGAATGCCGAGGATAATTGCCGGGTCAGCTTCATGGCACACAGCTTCTTCGACCCCCAGCCCGTCAAGGACGCCGACGTCTACTTCTTCCGCCACATCATGCACGACTGGTCCGACACGTACTGCGCCAAGATTCTGAAGAACATCATACCATCGATGAAGAAGGGCGCTCGGATTGTGATCGTCGATTATGTCCTACCGGATCCTGGCTCTGCGCCCAAGGTGTTGGAAAAGATGCAGAGGCACGCCATCCCCACCTACGATGCCGGATGAAGACACCTGCTGACGGTGAAAACAGATGCGGAGACTTGTTTATGATGAGTCTTCTGGGCGGCAAAGAGAGAGGCGCTGCCGACTGGCACAAGCTGGTGAAGCTGGCGGACGACAGACTGAAGATTCTGAACATCAATTTGCCAGATAATCAGGTGTATGGCGTGATCGAGATTGCACTTGACGAGGAATAGAAGATTTGTATGGGAACCGATGACTTTGACGGTCGATTCTGTATTGTAGAGAAGGGGTTTTCTTCTTCATATTCATTATTCTGTATTCGACCGTATCCGGTCATAATAGTATTGGACCTCTAGTTATGCCCGACTTCTCCGGGTCTGATGTACTACTTGAAGATCCAACTAGCGGGGCCCTGCTTGTCGGAACGTAGTCGTTCCCATTTCCGCCAGTGTGATGGTCACGAAGAAATTTCGACGCAAATTCGCTCGTGTCAACATCTGATATGTAGTCGTCCACACTCGAGCCAACAGAACTATCGCTTGTTCCCTTTCCGGTTTCTGGCAGCTGATTGCGGCTCAGCATTTAGAATCACCGAGTGAGATATCGTGCAGCCAACTTGGAATCCTCGGATTATTCGGAATCTTTCCTGGTTGGTTCCAGCTCCGGCTAGCGCTTGGGGCGTGTGGGCTCTGGGCAATCAAGGATTATCTGTATGCGGCGGTGGGGGGATATGTCGTTGAGATACATACCACACTGTTGTTGTACGAAAAGCGGTGTACCGAGGCTTGCGGGAAGCACGGCTGCACATGAAGAACCGTTGACCTGTGCCGAGCTGACATGGCACCGCCACCGCACGCAGTGGTGTGCCTCTTTCCAAGTCTATCTCATGAGCTTGGAATCTCAGTCCCCGCCAATGTACCAAGCTTCCGCACGTGTCGACCTTCTCACTGACGCCACAATAGAGTACGGTACAGTAACTTGAACATCGGGGCAAGTTCCGGTCGCAGAGATCTTATAAGTCGGTGACTGTATTGAAGCTTCTGGGGTACGTGACTCGTGGTGTTAGTGGGGTGGTATATGGATGGATGGCGGCAATGGGAGATGGGTGCGGGAGGAACGGGATCAGATGCGCCATCAGCAGCTCATTCGCGCCTGAAAACCCAGCACTCAAGCCACATCTATTTGACCCCGAAGCCTTAGGCGGTGAAGAATTGAGTGACTTAGGATCGGTTGGTAGGCATAACTCGCGATCGCTGTACTCGTAGTTAGCTGCGGCTCGAGCCTGTGCGCATGAGCATACATAGGTACGTACAGGGTGAAAGATGGGTGTAAGGGTAAGTGCTGCCTCACCACCATAGTGGGCGCAGAATAGTGGGTGCTGGACGGCTCCGAGGGGGGGGGGGGGGGGGGGGGGGGGGGGTTGGCAAGGCGGGGAGCTGAGGAGTGGGAATGGGAAAGGTATCGGGTATCGAACTTTATCTTCATCGTATTGTACGCCCTATGTGCCGATGGAGGCTGATATGGGCACGTGATGGAGGCTTGGAAGACGGCTAAGAATACATAGATAGTGTTGGTGAAAGGGCCAAGACGGGAGCACGAATAAGGTTGGGCGAGAGCATTGGGCTATTGATCAGCATCATGACTTGGCGAGAAAGAGGACTTGGCTCCTCGTTCGCTGAAACAGGTTTTCGCTCACGAGTGCACCTCGTACATCACACCGCCTGCCCTCTGCTCTACTGTACAGTGTAGTCATAACCACTCACTCGGTTGACAGTATCTGGCTTAGTGCGCTCCTCATATAGACTAGTGCTTATTTGCGGCTGTAATCCGTGATGGTCCATGTATTGTAGCTTCTTGTACACACTCGATTGGCCGACTTGATTTTCCAGTTGTCCAGATGGGTGGGCACTGCCCGTAGACTCTGCAGACAGTCGTGCCAGCTGCTAGAGTAGGAGAATAGAACAACTGCTAGCTACCATAGATCTTTACTTTTCACTCCCAACCACACACTCCGCAGCTTTCCGTCTACGTTCGACTTGTTCCATTGATCCTCAGCTCATTTCAAGATGTCTGTTCGGCGACACCCCTGGACAGAAGACGAGCGGACAGATCAGCTATGGGATGCGCGACCGAATCCGAACCTCCAGGGAGGTGGAATAATTGCTAGTGGGACGGTTCGCATTACCTTCCGGATGCCGTGAAGATCCGAATGTAGCTGACAACGATCTGCGCAGGCGGTACAGGGGCGAGATAACCTCAGCATTGCGACAGGCACCTCACAAGGTGCAACTATTCGAAGCATCAGTCACATCGTCAGCAGCTCCAGCACGACGATTTCAATCGGAAATAGCACCACGGACAGCTCTCGCGGGTATACGAAATCACGGCACAACGAATTCCAGGACTCAAATTTCACAGGCCACGTAAATATAGGTTCGCCAATCTATTCCGTGCTGCGATGGTAACTACAAGACTTTAGCTGACGCACGCTGTTTCTTCGTAGGAGATACGGTTCAGATTCACAACTATGCCCCACAATCTGGCCTTGCTCCGATCAAAGAAGGTCGGGATAATTTAGGTAGGTTATATCACTTTCACTACCATGCCCCCCTGTACCCCGCTTTTCCACTGTTGAATGTATATTTTTAAATGGCTTGTTCCTGTTTCAATCCAAGTCTGTCATCCGGGCCTTAAGGAGGTCCAGGTGGTGGCTTAGGCCTCGCCTACCTTTGCCGCCGCGGCAATCTTTCTTTCGCGAGTCTCTTTGTATCGGGGTCTGCGCACGATGTCATTCCGAAAGGCCACTTGGTTGATTTAGGCACATATAGTTCCATGCTAATCAGGCCTTTAGGCTTCAACTCGGGTATGTCGCCTATATTCATGGTGCCCTCGAGGAAGAATCCAGATTTCGTCGGGAGAGAGGAGACATTAAACCGGCTCGAGTCACTGCTACCTCCCGATAGCGAAAGCCAACAGCGGGCCGCATTGTATGGACTCGGAGGAAATGGGTAAGGCTCCACGTTCCGCGTAATTTTGTTGAGTGTGTTTAACATGGTCCAGGAAAACGACTATTGCGATCGAGTTTTGTCACCGAAGGCAGAAAGCGAAGCCAGACGGTCACATTTTCTGGGTGCTCGGGGACTCGTACCAAAACTTCAAGAGCAGCTATTTGGAGGTTGTCCGGGAAGCCAATATTATTATTGATGGCATCGACTTGGAGGAAGACCGTTTGAAGCAGGTCAAGAAATGGTTGGACAGCGCTACCAGTGGTGACTGGATTCTAATCGTCGACAATTTCGACAATTTAGACCATTTGGCCAACCACGACGAACCCGACTTGCGTCTAGCGAAATACCTCCCGGTAAAGCGGGGTGCAATTCTATACACGACACGCGACGGCACCATCGTTGGAAACTTTGTGCCGCGTGCCGCGGCAATGCACATTAGGGCAATGAGTGATGCCGAAGCATTGAGATTGTTCACAAATCTTTCGCCTACCGACGAAGCGGCCGTTTCGAAAGATACCATCGAGCTCCTGAATCAGTTGGACCACCTACCTTTGGCGATCACGCAAGCGGCAGCGTATATACGAGAGACGGGGGTGGAAATCTCAACCTACATGAAGATGTTCAAAGAATGTGAGAACAACCAAGAGGAGCTTTTAAGCAAGGCTTTGCCAGTGCAGGATGAAGACAGTCGGAGGCATTGTTCGCGTGCGGTGATGACTACCTGGAAACTCACCGTTGGAAAGATCCGGAACCAAAGCCCTGATTCTGTGCGACTACTGGAAATCATGAGCTTCCTGAGCCCGGACGACATACCAAAAGGATTACTGAGAGGCGTCCTATCCGACAAAAGTGACGTACAGTTCAGTGCGGCCTTTGCACCGCTCCTAGCCTTCTCCCTAATTGACCGTCTCAAATCTTCAAAATTCCGCTTGCATCGTCTTGTGGGATTATGTATCCGGAGAGAGATAGCGGAAATCCCACAACGGAGAGATGAGCTTCTAGAGACGCTTTGTGGCTTGTTGTACGATAGTTTCCCGCAGGACATGCGCGGAAATCACAACCAGTGTTCGCTGCTAGAAGTACATGCAATTACCGTACTGCTGCACACCTCGAACAGTGGTTCCCACAAGAAGTTTCATTCAAGCATGGGGCTACCGTATTGTTTAGGGAGTTTTCTAGTAACGAACAACAGGGATGCCGCAGGTGCTTTGACGTTGTTTCAGCAGGCGCTTGATGGCTGTGAGAAGGCCCTCGGAAAAGACCACCCCGACACTCTCGCCACCGTCCACAGCATTGCCATCACTTATGACAATCAGGGAGATTATCACAAGGCGTTGGAGTGGTTCCAGCGTGCACTTGACGGCCGTGAGAAGGCCCTCGGAAAAGATCACCACTACACCCTCGCCACCGTCCACAACATGGCCAACACTTTTCATCAACAGGGGGATTATCACAAGGCGTTGGAGTGGCTCCAGCGTGCACTTGACGGCCGTGAGAAGGCCCTCGGAAAAGACCACCCCGACACTCTCCACACCGTCCACACCATGGCCAACACCTTTCTGGGGCAAGGAGATTATCACAAGGCGTTGGAGTGGTTCCAGCGTGCACTTGACGGCCGTGAGAAGGCCCTCGGAAAAGACCACCCCGACACCCTCGCCACCGTCCACAACATGGCCAACACTTTTCATCAACAGGGGGATTATCAAAAATCGCTGGAGTTGTACCAGCGGGCACTAGACGGCTATGAGAAGGCCCTCGGAAAAGACCACCCCGACACACTCAACACCGTCAACAACATGGCCAACACTTTTCATCAACAGGGGGAATATCACAAGGCGTTGGAGTGGTTCCAGCGTGCACTTGACGGCTATGAGAAGGCCCTCGGAAAAGACCACCCCCACACTCTCGCCACCCTCGCCACGGTCAACAACATGGCCTTAGCTTTTCGAGAGCAGGGATATTATCACAAGGTTCTAGAGTGGTTCCAGTGGGTATGCCGAGGTATACTAAGACTTCTAAGATGGATGTACGCATTGGTCGCAAAGATGATGGATCTGCGTGGAGGGCGGTTGAGAGGCCCACATCGATCGGATAGAAGGGAAGGCGGTCGGGGAGGGTCAGGGGAGGTGGAGGTGAAGAGTGAGGGGAAGCGGAGAAGAAGGGTGAGGGGAAGCGGAGAGGAAGGGTGAGGGAAGCCGGCGAGGAAGGGTGAGGGGAGACCGAGAGAAAGGGTGAGGGAAGGCGGAGAGAAAGGGTTAGGGTGGCGGTGAGGAAGTTGGAACGACGCCAAAAGGGATATTCATGGCCCCAATTTGTCTTCTATGTACCTATGTACCGCTATGAGGAGAGAAACCTCGATCAATTATGCGTGGGCATCCGTGAGGATACCTTGCCGGTCCGAGGGCATTCAGCGGGTGATACAAGTAGGACTCACTGCTGGGAGCACTTGAAATACCTAGCATTACTGTTGATGGGCCACTCTACTATACCGAGACGAAGCCGGCACCGGCGCTACCGACGATGCAGGCGAGGAGATGGAGGGCAATACGGACCGCAAGGGAGGCGACTAGGAGACGGATCTGATGGAAATTAAGGAGGAGGTCGAGAAGAGAGAGGAGGGCCAGGAGGAGGAGGGTGTTGACGAGGAGGGACACGAAAACCACATGGAAGGCGGAAAGGAGCAGGAGGGTGTGGAAGGCAAGGAGGAGGCTTAGGGCCTCGGGAGCTGTTTTTTCTTCTTTCCTTTTTTCAAATTTATCGCATCAACTGCATCCTCAATGATTTCAATTTTATCCTTTTCGAGGTCGTCGCGACGCACCCCTGTTATCGTAGGCTCGTTGCTAGGCCCCAGCAACCTAGATGGAGGGGTGATATTAGGTAGGTGGTAGTAGTACATAGTATCCCGTCACTGACTGTGCCTGATAGAACCGGGTCGAGGATCATCAGTAGCTGGCGCATTGAATGCTGCACATTCGCGAGTTGATGCAGAAGACGCGGTCAGTAAAGGACAGTGGGGATATTGGGTAGAATCAATGAGATGATCAGATTACATACGACGAGTGATCGCAGCCAACACCCGCGCGAGATCACGGCGGCGGTGGAGACATGTCGACACCAACCAACCACTTACTTATGCCCACTCGCTCCCTCAACGACAACTCAAACAAGCATTTCATTTCGCACAATGCAGCACTATCCTATCGACACGGTATGAACCCATTTGATCGGCCGGTGCTCCACCGACCCAACACAACAACATCAACAACAAAGCGAACATGCGGCACAAAAGTCACAAACAAATGTCCATCGGACCCAAACACAAACTTTTAACTCATCACAAACCCATCCCCCAACCCTCCCCAGCACAATGGCAGCTGATTACATTTTCTCATCCCACCTTCCCACCCCTCCCTTCACCACATCATCGACCCAGCGCCTCCGACCCTGCTCGAGCTCCACCTCCCTCCTCCTTCCCAGCTCCTTGACGACCTCCTTGACGCTCTGTCTGTAGATATTCTTGAGCGTCCACTCAGCGGCGCCGGGGAGGGCGCCCCAGTAGCCGCGCTGAAGCACCACCACCTGCCGATCGTCCTCGACAACGCTCATGATATAGATCGTCCGCGGCGCGATGACGATGTGCAGCGAGTGCAGCTCCGGGTAGAGGTACTCGAAGTTTGCTGTTGCGGAGTTAGCGGGTGTGCGAGACAAGTGGGGGAGCGCAGCGGGAAAGTACCGATGGTTTGCGTGTGGTAGAAGCTCATGGGCCGGGTGGAGACGCATGGCAGAAGGCCGAAGAATTGCATCCTGGGAGCCATGGGGTAAGATGTTGCGTGAAGGGAGGAAGGTGGTTGTGGGGAGGTAAAAGGTTGTGGGGAGCCAACAGGTCGTGTTGGCTTGATGTTGTCAGAATGAAGGGTGTGGTTGTGGTGGGAGATGAAAGCCCGGAATAGGTGCACACCACAGCACTCGGTTTCCCGAAAATGGACATATTTGCAGGTACTGGGATTTTCAAATTGAACCATCCACGATTCAGTCAAACCAACACGAAACCTCAGCAATTGCGTTCATTGACATCTCAAGCAAGTCATAGTCTCTTACAGCATCATAAGGTATATATTAGTAGAAATGAGTACATGTATAGGTACTTTCATCTCATCATCTGATCATCTCATCTTGAGACCACAACCGTTCGTCTATAGAAGTTTTCCCGCCAAACAGAAATAAAACCCAAACAATCAAAACCCAGCCGCCATAACCATCTCACGTCGTGGCCATCACGTCAATCACCTATATACAGTCCACCACTCCCTCTACTCCTCCTTCGCAAACTCAAAATCCGCCTCAGAGATGCCACTACGATCACACATTCCCCTCCAGACGCCTCCGCGTCTCCACAGCTCTCCTGGCGGGCCCACCTCAACAACCTGACCCGCCTCCATGACGACAATCATGTCGTATCCCACCACTGTCCGTAACCTGTGGGCGACACACACCAGCGTCCTTCCCTCGAACCCCTCCTTCATACTCTTCTGAATAATCCGATCCGTCTCAACATCAACACTACTCGTCGCCTCGTCCGCGACGACCACACGACTATTCCTGACCAACGCGCGCGCAAGCGCAATCTGCTGTCTCTGTCCGAGCGAAAAGTTATACCCTTCCTCGTCGACCATCGATTCCAAGGTGACCGTAGAATCGAGGGAGCTCGATCGCAAGGCGGCGTACAGCTCCTCATCCTTGTAGGTATGGAAGGGATCGAGATTGCTACGGATCGTACCGCGGAAGAGTGTGGGATCTTGGGGGATGATGGCGAGTTTGCTGCGGAGCAGGGCCAGCCCGAGGGTGGAGATGTCGACGCCGTCGATGGTGATGCTACCTTCCGCCAGTTCGACTAGGCGGAAGAGCGCGGAGGTGATGGAGCTCTTTCCGGCACCGGTGCGGCCAACGACTCCTACTCGGCTGCCGCCCGGGATCGTGAGATTCAGGTCCTTCAGGACCAGCGGGAGTCCGGGTCGGTAACGCATGCCCACTCTCTTGAATTCCACCGTGCCCTTTTCCGGCCACGAAAGTGGCACTTGTGCGTTTGTGCGTAGCGGCGCCTCCTCGGGCAGTGATGTGCCATAGAAATGAATGCGCTCAGTCGCATTCATCGCGTTCTCTACCTCCGCCAACTGCCGGATCATCCACTGCAGCATCATGACGATCATGAGGATGTAGCTGAGCACGACACCGGCGATAGATGGATGGACGCTGAAGCGCGAGGTGACAACTAGAATCGCGGTGGTGAATACGAGTAGAATTCCGATCACGTCGAGACGGGTCGAGAGCCAGCGCTGGTTGGCGAAGGTAATGAAGTACGCGCCATTCATCTCATCCACCGCCTTGTGCAGCACGTTCTTGAACCGGTCCTCGAGACCGTACGCGCGGATCGATGCTACTCCAGTGAGGGATTCGCCGAATTTGGCGAATACATGGGAACGTAAGACTGCTTCATGACGCTTGACTTCGCGTGCTGAGGAACGGTAGTAAGAGGCGGCAAAGAGGAATATGAGCGAGAGGGGGAAAAGCGCGATGGCAAAGTAGTAGAAGTAGACGATGATCAGGACGAAGACCGATGAGATGATGGCCAAAGTGAGAAAGTACATGCGGATGGCGTCCGTCAGCATGTTGTCCATCACATCCACGTCCTTAGAGAAGCGGTTGACGATGCGGCCAATAGGTGTCGTGTCAAAAAAGCTCCTGCGGAAGGGTCAGCAGGTGTGAGTGAAGTGAATTACGGGAGACATACATCGGGGCGCGCAGAGTCGACTTCATGGCCTTCTGCAAGAGAACACGGCTGGATTTGGTACCCGCGATTGTGAGACCGAATGCGAAAACGAACATCAGGATGGACTGGATAGTACCGAGAGCGGCAAAGATTCCGATCTGTGTAGGCACCGATTAATATACGTGAATGGAAACCATGGGAATGGGCAAACCAACATAGGCACCGTTCGAGAGGTTGTAGTGATCGCTCGTCCAGTATCCCAGCCAAAGCGTCGTCCAGATATTAGACGCCTGCATAACGACCAGCAAAATGACAATGGCGGGAGCGATGAGTATCGTGCCGGAAGCTTTGATATAAGCCTCATAGACCTTCCATGAAACACTGGCGACCGCTCGTTCCTCGGTCTGCATTAATGCTGCTGCTGCTGCGGCAGGAGTCTTCTTCCTCGTCAATACGGCCGCTTCCTCCTCCTCCACATCAACCGCTTCCTCCAAGATCTCATCACCATCGGCAGTTTTGTTGAGCTTCTCCTCTTCCTTCTTCTCCGTCGCGATCTCCTTCATCATCTCGGCGAAGCCCAGATTGTTCTGCATAAGCTCAGTGTAGGTGCCGGTAGCTTGGATCCTGCCCTCCTCCATCCACACCACTCTGTCCACCTTGTCGAGTACGTGAAGCTGATGTGTAGCTAAGATCCTGCATTTATCCTTCAGCAGCCCACAAATGGCCTTATCAAACAGGTGCTTTCCGACGTGCGCATCGACGGCAGAGAGCGGGTCATCCATCAGCACGATATCGGCATTGAAATAGATGGCACGGGCGATGTTGAGCCTCTGCTTCTGTCCACCAGACACGGTAATACCCCGCTCTCCGATCTCGGTCCTGTCTCCGTCCGGCAACATGTCTAAGTCCCTTTCGAGCGCACAAGCCTCCACAACCGCCGCATACCATTCCGGGTCGAATTCCTTGCCGAAGACGATGTTCTCACGGACGGTGGCGTTCTGGATCCACGCGTACTGTGGACAGTATGCGAGCTTTGCCGACATTTTGATGCTTCCTTCCGTCTTGCGCATATCACCGGCCAGAGCTGCTAGGAGCGAGCTCTTGCCGCATCCGACGGATCCAACGACGGCCAGGAGTTCGTGGCGAGACACGGAGAGGTTGATGGCGTCAAGATGGAACGGTGAGACTGGGGTGGTGTTACCAGGTACGTCCGGATTTTGCTCCTTCTCGGCAGCCGCAGTGGCGGCAGTAGCAGCATCCAGCTTCCTCTGTTTCCGCGACGATTTGGACTTCTTTTTCTCCGACTCCGGCATTGTCTGTTCCCAAGTGAAACTGGCGTTGTCTACTTGGATGGCCGCTTCCAATTCTTCGTCATGTACGACTCGGTCAGTAGTCTCCTCGGCGAGAAGATAATCCTGAAGCCGCGACATGGATACCCACGCATCGATAGTTTGCGAGATGACGAGGGGAAGCATATTGAGTGGCATTCGGAGGGCGTTGAACAGTGCTAGCGACGAGAAGACGGAGGCGGGATCCAGACTATTGTCGGTCAACGAGTAGGTAACAAAGGCGAGCATGGACGCAAAAATCGGCAGCGACATTCCGACGGCGTTGACACCACTTCGGACACCGAGCAAGAACTGCACTGCACTGATCTCTTCGTTCCGCAGATCCTGCAAGCGCGAGAGGAAACTCTCCTCCCATCCAAAGTACTTGACGAACCGCACGCCGGTCAGGATCTCCTGTGTCAGGGCGACTCGCTTGTCGGTGATCTTGTTCATGGTCTTGCGCTTGCGCGCGAGGATCTTCACCACCCACGAAAGAATCGGTATTCCAATGACCAACAGCCCAAAACCGGCAAGAGCGGAGTATCCCAAGTTGATGAGGAGCAGAATCAGCGACAGGATAATCTGCACCGGTGCCGTCCAGATGATATGGAACCATCCAGCCGCCTGGTCGACACGATACGAGTCCGTTCCCATCAGGTTCACCACACGTCCGTTGGACCAGCCCACTTCCTCCTCCTTTTCCTTCTTCTCCTTCGTCTTCTTCCCGTTCTTGTCCTCCTTCCCTTGCTGCCTTGCCGTAGCCATGGTGAACGCGGTCGCCGCATCTCCACCCGCCTTAGCCCTGCCCGAGATCTTCAACGACTTGTCGAAAATCATGCCGATGATGCCGCTTCGTGCCTGCCCTCCGACCATCATCGAGTTGTAGATGAACTGCGAAACACCGACGCAGACGACCAGCTGTATGCACGCGATTCCGACAGCGAGGCCGACACCCTTGCCCACACTCGGTCCGGGGGTGCCATGTTTGGACGCATTATACGCGTCGACGGCGAAGCGGATCAGGTATTTCAGGATGAACGGGTTGATGACGAGCAGGATATCGGCGATGAGGCGGCACACGCCCGAGAACCAGAACTCCCAGAAGAAGATCTCGTTGAGCGCCCACAGCAGCGGGTACTTGTCGCCCTTCTCTTGGCGCCGCTTAAACGCGCTTTGCAGCTTCTCGGTGATGATTGTTGCCGATCGGCGCGGCGCGACGAGCGGGATGTCGGTGGGCTCCAGGGGTCGCAGGTATCCTGTCTGTTGATTTGGCGGGGCGTCAGCACTCTACATCCCGCTCGGATAAAACGAATCCAATGAATCCTCCGTCCGCGCCCTCGGTACCGACCTCATCGTTCGGTGAAACCGCGGGGAATGGAGGATTGGGTCGGAGATGGTACGGAATGGGGAGAGGGGCATGACCGGCGGGGTGGGTAAGACAGAGGGGGGGAGGGTATATGTGCACAGCACTATGGGCACTTCAACATATAGCTAAGCAGAGATTATGCGAACCTTCATCAGATCGCCCATCCACATGAACGTCGCGCGACTCCACAGACTCGCGTCCGCCTCCTGACTGATAGCCCTCTCTGGCGGCACCGGTGGGGGATCGCTCCATCTCAGCGGATTGTACGAGCCGTACCTCCTCCACGGCAGGCCATTCTTCCCATTTCGCGCGCCGCCGCTGCCGCCGCCCTTCTCGGGATCGGGTTTGTCGCTGAACGATGAACCAGAGGAGCCGCGCCGCGTCGGTGATGTCGCCGATGGCTTCTCGTCGTAGTCGACCGGTGATGGTGGTGGTGCTACACGTGTCGGGGCGGATGTGTGTGTCGTCGTCGCCGCGGTCGTCGTCAGGGTGGCGCCAGCCTCCGCTGAGAGCGGTTCCACTGCTGCCATATGCGGTTACGGAGATGGAGTGAAGGGCAAAACAATGGAAGGAACAAGATATTTTCTTTCTTTCCCCGAAGAGCAATGCAATCAATAACGGGTATGTAGTAGTCAAGAAAGGTGAACGGGATAGAAGAAAGCACCACCACCACGTGAGAGAAGAAAGAGTTTTTTTTCCCGAGTGGTAATGTTATGTACTGGCTGGCAATGGGGACGGGCGCGGAATTCGGTGTATCTTTGTTGCCGGCAAAGTCCGACCTCTTCCTTCTGCTTCCAAATTCCAATCCGGCGTTTAGAGGATTTAAGCCGAGGCTGAATCAAATTTGGAAACCGGAAAATAAATAAATAGAGTCCTGGCCGGCTGGCTGGCGATTGTGAGGGTCGTCGATCAAGCGTTTGATCGCTGTCTGCACAGAACACAGATGGGGCCTGACTGAGCTTGAGGAGCGCGATCGAGGGGGCGAAAACGGCAGATGGCCTGAAGGGAGAAGGAATGACGTTATATATGTAGTGGTTATGTACCGTTCATTCTAAGTGCTCCACAGAAGAAGGCATCAACAAGGCAGGCAGCCAGCTGTCCAACTTCTTGACAGGAGGATCCTGAACGGGGATCGAAACAAGCACTTGCATCCCAGGATCAAGAAGTGGAATAGAGTAGATCCACGATGTCTTATCTCCGCTCCAGCCACGCGCAGCTCAATCGACAAAGTCCGAGCTGGAAGTGATGATGTGAATTCGATTCGAACATTCATAGGCAAGTAATTATGCAGCGATATGCGTGAAGGCTGCTGTACCGCCCGTGTTCGTGTTTGTATCCACAAGCGACGAATATATGCAAGTTTGCAATCCCCAGTATTTGTCGCCGCACTGTGATGTTTGAATCACCGCAAACCTAGGTCGAAGTGGAACATTCATTCATCTACAGTTCTGTTTCCACACAAGAGCGCGAGACGACTCGGGGTCGGGCGCCGGACGATGCCGCACACACCAGCAGTTGCAGTCGTGGTAGCGCGTGCCGTGTTATCCGGCCTGCACTTGGCCCCCAAAACGTGTGGAGATAAATATCCATGATCAGGCCCGTGCACGGCGTCAGCCGGTCGGTTCAAAACAAACAATTTTTGAAGAAGGTCGCGGAGTTAAGAGATCGCCGGGGGGTGAGAGTTTGGGACTGCGGGGATACGAATACGAGTGTGTCGAATACCTGGTACGTACTGCTACGTGCAGGCGTTCATCGATGTCTTCATCAACGATCTGTGTCCCTGGACACAGCTTAGGAATACGCGTGTCGATACATACCTTCGGCGCCCGGTACCGGTATGCAGTCACCATTACCTAGCCATGAGCTGACTTTAGGCGTACGCGATCGGAGGCCGCTATATCTTTTGACCGCGACTCGGTCGAAGTACCTCAATGCTGGAGCAGAAGCCCCGTGCGCCTGCCGGCAACGGGGTTCCGTTACCGCGAAAAAGTTCCGTCTTCTTAGGCTGCTTCGGCGAGTTTACTAATTGCTTTTGCGATAACCATCCGATCCGAGCTGCTGCTGTCATCCGGACCGGACTTCCGGTTTCTGATCTCACGGGTTCTTCATCGATGTCACTCGGCTGGACGCGATTGGACGAGACGAAAGTGCTGGTTGGCTCGCGACACTTGTGCCAGAAACTCGGCCACGTGCCCATCTCTGCCGCTGTCCAGGCAGCCCTCCTCGGATGGGACACGTAGAAATCCGGACTGGACCAAACATGTAACTTCATAGCGAGGTAGGTAGGATAAGCATACCTAGACACACTCCGGAGTCCGGAACCGAGCGTGGAAATAAATCCCTTGGCACCTGGCAAACATAAGAGTTCTCCCGGCAACTATACGGCGGATGTCCAAGCCGAGCCGACCTGGCGGCCTGCGAACCGGATGACCATAGAGAAGAATGGCCACACCACGCTGTCAAGCATGTCCGGGCGCCGACGCGGTCCCGTTCCCGGTATCACTGGCGCATCTCAGACAGTCGCATATTTGACCCGAAGCTTGGTCACCATGCGGGATTTTGTAGGCAGCTGAACAATGGCTGCTTACCGGTATCGTGGAAGAACAGCAAGCCGGACTGGACCTACTCCCAGCGTGAGCGGGGAAGCGCTCGGCATCGGCGTGCCGGTACTCCCGACGGAAGTCAGCGCATGCTTATACCGGCCGGCACACGTCTAAACTCGCCTATGAGCAGGCCGGACGACAACTGCTGACATATTGTCCACCGACTGAGGAGCACAACCCCGAGACTATCCCTTCAAGCACTGCGGTGTGGAAACGAATGTGTTACTGTGAGCAGTCCACTAGCCATTCGGAGGTGGTGGGTGCCTGGAACATTCGGTGCGGTAGCGGTTCCAAGTTCGGTTTTCTTTCTCTTTCTCTCTCTTGTGCCTGCATCTCTTAAACACGAAAATCCTACTTCTCCCCATCTCGATCGTTCCTGTGATCACCATCAGGAGTCCTTCCAACCTGTGGCAGGGTAGAGCAAAACAGAAGAAGTTGTGGCGAGAAGGAGAGTGGATAACAGAGGATGACAAAGCAAGTCCCTCTCTCGGACGATGATGCGGCCACTGCTCGTAAACAGACCCAAGATGCTGCCCAGCGATCTTGAAGTTCCTTCGCCACACGTTGGCAGGTCAGTGCGTAGTGAGGCGGACTACCAGGAGGCAGTAAGCGAGCCACCCGATGTGCAACGAGTAGCTGTGGAGCGGTTCGAGGAGGTGGGGGGATGACCTTCCTGGATCGGCTGGACAGGGAGGCAGTTGAGGAGGCGGCGGTGAGGCAAGCGAACGAGCGCAGACTGCTTACAAACCCTGTTACTACCGTGTATTTGGCGGACGGAGATGCGAGGAGGCAGAGAGATTTCCAGGTTCTTTGACTGTCTTTTCGGCCAGCTCTGGATGTGCAGGCCTGTAAAAACGTATTTACTGTTGCATGCCCGGCGGGAGACCGAGGCTGCGGCGTCTGGCCCGTTACCCGCGACACTCGGGTTGAAAACTGGGCAGAATACGGAGCTGTACCGATGCCCTACATACAAACCAAGAAGTCGATCTTGGTGCTCGGTAAGCGGGAATTAACTACCTATCGAGATTGACGCCCACGGCTGGCCAGCGGTCACATACTCTGTATACCCGCCGACGACAACCGCAGACGGCGGGACCAAGCTGGTGGACGACCACGAATCCGAGTGATCGGTCTACACCAACAAGTACCGTTAACGACCGACATTCGTTTCGGCATCTCTTGCCCGTCTCCAGAGGACGGCCTCGGCCAGGAAACTGCCGGAAGCCCGTTTTTGGCATGAGACACCTACCTACTCCGGAGGAAACGGTCGCCGGATCCAGCCGCTCTTAGGCCGAGAAGCACCACGGCACCGAGGGTCTGCCAGCACAAGTCAGGGCCGATACCCGCACGGGACATCGAGGCAGCCGGATACCTACCCTGCGTTCAACATAGTCCAGTCCAGTCCGTCCAGTCCAGTCCGTCCAGTCCAGTCCGTCCAGTCCAGTCCGTCCGGACTGATAGACGGGACTAGACCACATACATTCAGTCCGTCCGGAGGTGTCTGTCGGACGGACTAAGTAGTCTACCAGTAAGGTCGGATGGGACGGACTGCAGTCCAACCCCGTCCAGCAAATCTGTGGACGGGACGGACTACCTACTTTTATCCCGTCCTCCAAAAGGCACGGATGGGATTGGATCTTGGCAGTCCGATCCGTCCGTCCTCAGCCTCGGACCGGACTGGACTGTATCTTGATAGTCCGTCCATGAGCGGTATTTGGACGACTAGTCCAAAAAACTTGAGGCCAGGACGGACTGTAGTCCGTACTCCGTCCACGAAATCCATGGACTAGACGGACTACTTTTACGCAGTCCGTCCAAATGGCCGGTCGGGTCCAGATCTTGGCAGTTCGTCCAGTCCGGACTGCAGTTCGGACCGGACTGCGTCGAACACTGTGCCTACCCGGTAAAGTTAGCGGTACACCCCCCAAAAAGTACGGTCCCGGTGGCACCTCTATGAAGAATGCAACGCCTATACCTAGATTGGGGCAGAAGACAGTGTGGCAAGCCGAACGGGTGGTCAAAGGTGATGAATCATGATTGATCAGCCCGATTACTCAACCGCACAATGACCGGAACTCTCTTTGCGGGACCGATCGATGCAGCCCGGGAGTTACGGACGTCCTATAGAACTCTCTACCTACTCGGGGCTCCGAGTAGACGTTGGCAGGCGATCTAATGCCTGGAGTGGCGGAAGCGGAGGAGGCGGCTAGCGCGTAGCCTGGAGTGGATAGGGATGAAAGGCATTGTAACATGTGCTAGCCTTGGATATCGATCAGTTCCTGGCTCGGCTGGAGCGGGAAATGAGGGAGGCAGTGGAGGGACAGAGACGGGTTGCCTTGCTTTAACAAGTCTGTCATTATCGGCTCAGCTTGGGATTGAGATGCTTGGTAGAATCACTCTGTTGGGTGGCCAAAGGAGGCTGGGGAGGCGAGGTTGCTGCATCGAGTCTTTTGCCGGGACTGAAGACGGGGGTAGGAGATGTGCGTATAGTCAAATACAAGTCTAGATGGCCTAGGTATCTGAATAAACGAAGAAACAAAAAAATAGCTCGCGAAAATCTGCATGTCGAACCAACATCATCGCATCTGTGCATATCATTTGCGGCATCGAGACCTCGAATTGTGACATTCCCTCCCAAGTAATCACCAGTAGCTTTAGCCACAATGGGTCGAGCCGCCCATCGCCGACAACGTCCTCTAGATGAGGCCATACCCCGGCTCACAGTGGCGATTAGGTACCGCAGCCACTTTTTACACTCACCACGAGTACCTACCACCTACGGACCCCGAATCCGGTCAGATTTTCACTAGCAACAACAACCTGCCTCGCCCCCGCCGACCACCAAAACCTTACCCTTGTCGCCGGCGATAATTGGCCGCTCGGGTAAACCGCAGCATCACCTTCACAGCCAGGGACGGGCCGTCTTCCAGCTAAGCGCCCAAGCGCCATGACTTTCCCTGCGGATCCTGGATGTGTTGGTCCATCGGCCCCTTCCCCAGTCCTCACCCCCCAACCACTCCACGATTCGGAGTTCACTTCTAGACCACGGGAGTTGTCGTACCACCTTCGCCTCCCACGACTGTCATATCTGGTTTATGTAATGTACATATACTCATCACAGCAGGGGGGGAGGCTAGACCACCGCTCGGCAGATAACCCGCCCACCTCACCAGCGCATGCAGACACTGGGTACAAATCGCCTCCCATCGTCGCACCCTGGGCGTACCCCACTCGCCACCGGTCAGCGCGCATATCTAACTAGTCCACATACATACTCCCCGATGGCCACTGGTCGGTAAGCGGGTGATATCCTGTGAAGGAGTGTGGACCTTCCCAACGGGGAAGTGACACGGAACTTGAGCGCGGATAAACCATCATCCGCTGCAAACAATCATGGGCCGCGGCTGGATAGCCCCCAGAGCCGGCCACGGGGGCTAATGCGGACAAAGTTCGGACGTGTCTTTGGTTACCTATTTCGAGGGAGGGAAATGGGCCTAGTAAAAACCCCGGCGTCGGACGGGCGGGACGGGGGTTCATCTGGAAGGCAGATGATAACTACCGTTACCATAGGTGTCTCCAACATTTGTAGAAAACTGGGTTCTCCGGTTGAAGTACATTAAGCAGACCAGACCAGACAACAATTAGATTGTCCTTGGCAACAACTCCTCTTCCGTGTGCAGCTTGTGTGTATATTAGTATACATAGTGGTACCTGCATCCCGCTAGATCCAGCGAGAAAAGCTCTGCAGGACGGACTGATAGACGGCTTGTGGCGGATACGAAGGGGCAAATGCGAACGACTGCCTACATACTATCGGGCTGACCAGGCACCAGATAACGACTGCTTCCCTCCTTCGCTTGTGGCTGGGTGTAACTATGGGACGGTGGCGGTGCATGTAGGTACCTGCATAACACCCGTGCCAGTGCCAGGGTCCGGGAAGAAAAGCGAACCGCTGCCTACCCAGGTAAGTACGGTACTTGCTCGTTGAGTCGTTGTCCACCCTCCGCTCCGCAAATAACCACCGCCTCCCAGGCTCCCACCTCTCGGCTCCCGCCCCTAATGCAGCGCGGACGAATTGGGCATTGGGCGTCTTCCACAACTGAAGGTGCCGATGCGGAACGATCACCACCTATCCAACGGCTACAAATTGCAAACAACCGGGCTGCGGGTAGAGGCCAGATAATACCGGTAGTCTCCCCCAACTCCCCCCCTCCCCCCCGCCGACATGCATGGTTGAGGAGTGCGTACATACCTGCAGACATACCACCGGAACCGGGAGATAGGTTGGGGGGCGGTTTCGTCCCTCGGAAAAAACAAATGTGATACACGAGTCTTCACATGTACATGTACCGTCCTTCAAACGAACACTTACTTACGCAGCCTCTGCCGTGTGCGAATGCAATGCGAACAACTGCCTACATTCGGTACAACACCTACCGTAATATACAGATTACACCCAGGCGAGAGAGAAACTAGATAAGACCAATCACCACTCACCACTCACCACACCGCGGGCGGCAGTAGACCCAACATTGCCATTGAACGGGGAGTCAATCAGCCCGGAAGGAGACGTGAACGGTACCGGACCACATGTTCATGCGAATTACGGTGCAGCTAACAGTAATGCACTCCCGTGTGGCCTCTGGATGGCCTCTCGATAGGTACTATAATATATTATCCTCTACCAGGCGCCCTGAGTGCACTGGCGAACGAATTCCCCATCTGCCCCTCGCCCATCTGCCGCACATGCCGCACATGCCTACATCCAGAGTTGCAAACAGCGTGACGGTCGAAAGACCGAGCCGGTAACACGGCAGGTGGGCGTGGGGGAGAATTATAGTACGTACCTGCATCCAATACCGGGGAGGAAAGCAAATGGGAACACAATGTAGGTACCGATATATAGTAGGCACATAGTGCACCAATGTACTTTCAGAATATGTCTTGGTGTTTTCGCCCGATGGGATGCAAAGAAGAGACCATACCTTCGCCGGTATTGCGGTGCTGTGGTACATGTAAACGCGCGTACTCCGCGATTGGACGCCTACTATGTATACCGGTAGTTCCTGGTACATACGCACCTTCACATGTTGCCGCTCGCGGGCGCGGCAAACGCTGGATGGCGACTCGCGAGTGCAAGGCCACACGTACTACACGCAAACGCCGCCGCCACCGCCGCCGCCGCCCTTGGTAACGAATGTGCTACCCGTCAATGATGTTCAATAGTTTGTCACGGGCTTTACCAATGCTTAATCCCCATCGCCCCCCTGCCCCTGCCTCATCGTCCTCCCCTGCCATTCTCATCGTCCTGCTCTCCCTCCCCTGCCTTCCCTCCCATCGCATTCCCCTGCCCAACCCCACCACTCCCATCCCCGCTGGCAGCCTACAAGCCTACAAGCCTACAAGGCTATACGTATTTATGTAGTATGTAAGCAAGCAAATCCCGCACCCGCATTCGCCCGTCCCGTCCCGTTTCCCCCGTGCCCCCCGTCCCCTTATGCCCCCTCTGCCCCCCGTTCACTTATGCCACCCCCGGCCCCCGCCAACGGAAAAACTCCCATGCATACCACCCATCCATCCCGGCCCACACCAGAAAACGGACTGCATACATACTCGACGGCAGCTGCCGTAGACTGGCCGTCTTGTGCAGGTACCGTACGGTTGTCCGACACGGGTGGTCCGACACGGATGTATGTAGGTAGGGCGGATAACGCTGCACACCGACTGCACACCGACGTGGACGGATGTCAGCCTTCAGGGGCTGTGGTATCTACACAGAAGGGATTACTTAGGCATTACCAGTAGCATCTACGTATTATACATAGGTCGGTAGAAGGGGGTTACAGGGAAATAGTTTGCTGAGGACAGTAGGGAGACATTGCACGGTTATCGCGTTTCTCCATAACTAACAAGATGTAACTACTGATTGGGTATGTATAGAATGCGACGTGTGGCTACGTAGGTTGTATGTACCGTACTGCGAGATTCCCCATCGTTTCATCCATCTGTCGGTCCAGTATTGTCCAGTCTCGACATGTGCCAGCCTGCCCAATCGCAGCGGCGAGACAATGAACAAATCGCAAAAATAACCCTATCAAGTAAAACGAACAAAACAGAACAGAACAGTAAGAAAGAAAGGGAAATAAAAACGCCAAACACCAATACTGCGCCCATACAGAAACCATATCAATCCCCCGCCCCCAACCGAAGCCCACTAAACCAAACTCACGATGCTAGCCACGGTGGTTGAGCCAGGACGATCGTAGCGCACCAATGGGTTCTTTTCCAGCTTGGCCTTCCACCGGGGGCCCTCGCCCCGACCCAGCACGAAGCTCATCCGTGCGCACTCGCCGGATTCGGGAGCCTTCTCCTCGACGACCGTGCGGATGCTGGTCTGTACCATGACTTCGATGCTGCCCTTGCGCTGCTTCAGCGAAGCCTCGGTCTCGGCGCACACGGTGAGGCTGGATGGCGGGAACTCCTCGACTGTCTTGATCGGAGTTTCCGTGTCGATAGTGGTGATGACGCTGCTCTCGCGCAGCGGCACGAACCGCCATCGCCCGAACGCCCAGTTAAGCACCCAGCGGTTTCCGGCGGGCGGCGTGATGGGTGTGTCTTCATTCGTAACGGTGTCGGGATGCTGCGGCGGCGGTACGCGCAGTCGTAGGATTCCCTTGATGCGGTAGACCTCGTCGTTCGGCACCGTCTTGAGTAGTGTCTCGAGCGCCGTAACGTCCACGTATCCGCCGTCGTCATCGCTCGATTGGGGCAGCGTAAGCGAGAGGACATCAACCTCGCGGCTGTGTTCGTGGTCGTGTTCCTCGGGGATTCCAGCGTCGGTGGACAGCCTGCGCGCCAGACTGACGTCGATTCCGAAGATGACGTCTTTGTCGACCCAGCCGTGTCGCGATTTGACGATCGGAGTGTCGTCAGCCACGTCGCGGATGCGGTCCATCACCTCCTCCTCGCGCTCCTTCCCCGGGAATTCCCACTTGTTAAGGATGATCAGATCCGTGTACTTTGCTTGCAGCTTCGCGGTGTAGCTCGTGTCGGCGTAGCCAGCCCAATTCTCGACGTCGATGACTTGGATGACGCCGTCGATGGGAAAGATACCACCATTCTCGGCGGAGATGCGGTTTACCTCCTGTGCGGCCCCTTGTTAGCGGGTGGCAACTTTTTTTTGGAGGCTGTGGAAAGTGAGGGGTAGGGGGGTTTTGTGGAGTCGTACCATCGCTAGTGTGGCAGGGAAGGCGGAACCCGAGGTCTCAATCACGATTCGTGTAGGCTTGTAAGTGTCCCTGAGAGTGAGCAGAGCCTCTCCGAGCTGGCCGACGAGGTTACAGCAGATACTACATTCGTTCCATCAGCCATTGAGTTCACCGGCGCAAGAGAATGGAAGTTGAAGACAAGGCACGGAATTGTCGGGGAAGGGGGGAGAGGGAGGGGGTGCCGTACCAGCCGTTGAGAAGTTCCGTGACGCCGGCAACCGAACTCTGTTGCGCGAGTTTCGAGTCGACGGCCACATCACCGAACTCATTCTTGAGCAGGCACAGCTTGTAGCCGGCGGGCAGCTGAGGCAACAACGACAGCAGCAGTGTCGTCTTACCTGAACCGAGGAAGCCGGTCAGGATGGTGATTGCGATCGGGTTGGTGGGCGGAGACAGCATCTCGTTCGCGGCGACGAAATTGGTTGCGTCGGGGAGTGGGCGGGTTGAGATGGCGGGAACGACTGATGGCGAAGATGAGTTGGAGTGCGATCGAGCGGTAGGATGGAGGGCGACGATGGCTCAGTGGAGGCGAGCGGAAAGAGTGAGAGGCGGTTGACAACGACGGTGGAGCTGCTGGAGGGAATGCTCGGAGAGTGAAGGGAGAAGGGGGTGTGTGGGGGGTGGAGGAGGCGAAGACGACAGCTGAGACGAGGTGAGGAGAGTGGTGTCGGGTGAGGGGGAGGGTGTGATGAGTTAAGTAGTGGTTTCCTTAGGTAGTTACGTCCATACAACCAGGACAAGGTGGTAAAGTGTAGCAGCGATGGCCATTCTGCTAGGGCGAGGTTCCAGCCAATAATTCGATAATATCGCCGAACTAGTGTTCGATAGCGGGAAAGATGGGCGCAGCCAGTGGACGGCCGCGATGGGGCTCTTCCCTGCTGACACCCGAGCAGTGGGACAGAGCCAAACAGCACCTGTAGAGTACGCACAAGGTACTTGGCCAACTATTGCTTTTTGTTCGTTCACGGCATCGCCTCTCTGGCCGTCTCTCCTGTCATGAACAGTGGGCTAGTGGTGATAATGTTGTTGTTGTTGGTAGTGGTGGTGGTGGTGGTGGTGGTGGTGTTGTTGGTGGGTGGTGGTCGAGGTCCCGGTGGTGGTGATGGTGGTGGGCTGCCCGAACTCCCCCCTCGAACGCGAATACCCCCCGTGAGATGCCATCTCCACTTATTCCTCCGCCTCCAGTCATCACCCCACCAACATGGGTCAGACGCCGCCTGGATGCTACCGAGTTGGAAGCCAGCCCGCTTGCCACAGAACTAACGGCCCTTCCAGGAGCACCACGCCGCCCCCCACTTCCCACGCCCCTCCTCAGAAAACAGCCCATTGTCTTCACGCTCGTATCGGCACCGCATTCACAGACACACGTTTGTACAGTAGTCCAGAAGGCGCGGCGATAGGGCATGTCGCGAAGTCTTCACGACACGGAGGAAAAATGCTCTGGGCGTTTCGGTGAAGTACGATGCGATGCGATGGCTGCACCGAGCGTTTTCGTCGGACAGACTTACCACTCCTCGGCGAAAAAAGAAATCGAGAAACAACTGAGAAAAGGAAAGAAAGAGGACGGGGCCTGTCTGCCTCCTGCTGTCTCCGCCGGGCTTTCTCCACCCCCCCTGGGGCCTGCGGACCTTCCCTTAATCGTCTACCTGTCATCGAGACAGCCCACCAGCACGCAGCAGTACCAGCAGAAAAGAAAGCAAATACATTATGCCTCAGATGCATCTGCACAAATCTGCATCGTTCGTTGCCTGTGGTCGCCTCGCCTTGCGCGTGCATTGCATGAGGAGCAGGATCAGGAGGAAGGACGGACATGTTCGCATCTGATATGATTTGGTACCTACTCTTACCGGTGCTCCTCCGCCGCTGGTCTGTCGCTTTCGTGGTGGTGGGGCTGAAGAAAAAGACCCGACGAAGAGGGTGGTGCTGTGCTGAGCTGCGCTGTTCGTTCGCCGGCTAAAAACCGGGCGGCTCAGAAAGCGGCAGGCACATGCTGCATGCGTGCACACAAATTCGAACGGAGAAGGACGGGTTGTCGTCTGTGCACTGGGCGCGCGTCTTGCTTCGGTAGTTGGCAACCCCCGCGGAAAAGACTTGTGGGAGGAGGAGACGAAGGGTGATGGGGGTGAAGAATGTGACAAGAGGGAGGTGCGAATAGGAGAGTGCGCGGATGAGGAGTGGAGGAGGAGGACAAGGAGGAGGAGGAAGACGAGGAGGAGGAGGTGGAGGAGGAGGAGTGCTGTAGAGTACTCTACGTGTGCATACAGTATCTGCATAGACGCGGCATGCTATGCGTCTCTCCGGTCACGCCGTGCCTCCATCTAACCGTCCTGTCCTCGTCATCCCCCTCCCCCATCGCCGTCCGCGTCCATCGCCGACCCATTTCGAGCCGTCACGGTCACCGCAACCGGACGGCGAGACGAGACCAAACCAGACAAGACGAGACGAGATCGGATGCAAAAGAGTCTGCAGTTACGAATTGCGCACGAATGAATCGTCACGGATCCGGTTGACCGCATGCGCCCTCACGCACGCCCCAGATGCCCGCTCCACCGGGACCTACCGCCTGTCGCAGCCGGAAATTCACATGAGCATAACTATGAGTTACCAAGTATGGTGAGTACCTCATGTCTCAAGTCTCGTCTCGTCTAATCTTGCCCACGGCCGTGCACACTCCCCAGAAATGAGGGGCTGCTCAGCAGCAGCAGCAGAGCCAGTCCACCGCAAGCAGGCCTCCCGGCCAGACCCCCCGACGGATAAGAGGGGGGGGAGATGGGGGTGGTCCACGACCACGGATCTGGAATTGCTAGTCGCCTACGCGAGGTGCAATCTCCCGCCCTCGAAAAGCAAGTTCTGGGGGGGACGGAGGAGGCAGCAGAAGAGAGACAAGCGGCTGGTGGACTGGGTGGGGGGGGGGTGGTGAAACGGGTTTCTCGCCATTCCGTACCACGTAGAGCGTCGAACGGATCCTGAAGAATTTCGTGAGCATGACTTCACGTACATATTAGTACCTATAACTAGTCCACACACCCAGAGCTGCGCCGAATCGACGGCTCTGTTTCCGCTCGCCTGCCTTATTGCCTGCCTGTCTGCTTGCTTGCACGACGACAGATCTCAGATGCAGGTGATTACTGCGAACATTTAAGCTACGATACGTGCGCCACTTCGCATCCGGTCCAATAGAATAATCGCTGCAGCCGATCTCACATCGTGCGTTGACGGCGGCTCCGAATCGTATCACTAGCCATCACTCCACGGCACGGCGTAGCGCAACAGCCCGCCGCAACACGAACGCAGAGCGGCAGGGCTGAGTCTGCGCCTACTATTTACATCCTGTAAATAGTAGCCTAACTGTTTGACGATGCCTGAGATGTATACACGGGCCAATTAATAATGAAGTGTTGAACTGGTTGGACGTTGGACCTCGCCCACAGACCCGCTCATCTACTTTTGTACCTATCAACACTGCGCGGCACCGCCGATCGCACGAAGCGCAAGTAAGGCAGCTTAGCCTACCAACCAACTTATCACCATATGCACAAACCGGCAGATCGTCATCAATCGCAGTCTACTATTTCCATATGGTTGGGGACGGAAAAACACCCCTAACTTTGACACCTATCTCCTCCACCAAAAAGTTCTTTTTGAACAAAAATTCTCTATTAATCGATAGAGAATCGCATGGCCGTCATTCAAATAACGTCCGATTAATTTTAAGACGCGGGGTTGTGGAGAAGAAGAATTTAGAAAATAAATCATTTTGTATGGAGGCCAACCCAATGTCCCTCCCCTGTTATCACCCGATTTACCCATGTTTGCACTGAATTTGCCGATTCTGGGCCCATGGACAGCCAATCGGGTAAGCCAAGAACCATTTTGGGCTGATATTTGGTTCAGATAGGCCTAAAATGGATTTAAAAATGCCTATTTTGCTAAAATAAATCTCACAAATCGCTATTTATTACGCGTTTTGTAATTAATTCGATGTTTCCACGAATGTCCCACCCCACCGGCTCTAGGAGTCCCCAACCATATATGTCGCGGTGGCAAAAAGTCAAGAGACCGACGGGTCGCCGTGCACACACACAACTCCGGATCCCTCACTCACGGAGTTCCTGGCGATATTAACCCCATGTCCGACCTCTTGGTTCGGACATCGCAGCGCACGCAGTGCCCCCAGCACACCCCACGCTTGACGAGTCACAATTCCCCAAGCTACTGCGCGGGATGCTTCGGCGCGGACTGTCAGCGAGCGGAAGCAAACCGGCCCAAGATCTCTAGGTAGATATGCACGTTCACACACGCACAACACACACACACACACACACACACACACACACCTCGATGCATAACTACCGTGCAAGGAGCGGTCAGAGCCGCGGCGACATCACACCACTACTTTACTGAGGTATAACACGAACGGTCAATCGGAGCCCGGAGCGGGTGGGGGTGCACCGCCGCCGCACCGACCGACCGACTAATCAACACCCGTGACCCCGCAGCGAGCGCAGCGCAACGAGCCCAGCCCACACATCCATCATCCATGGCGGGTACCTGCATTTGGCACTCGCGCTGCGTTGCGGTTGCGGAGGAACCATGGGGTCTAGCCCGTCCGCCCGCTTTGTTTTTTCTTGTCGCCGGTCTAGGCTTGTACTAAACATGGCCCGTTGTCTAGGTGAAGCGGGGATGGATGGACTCTGGACGGGCGCGCGAGCGAGCGAGCGAGCGGGGGGCGCGAGGGACGGGGCGGTGCGAATCGGACGGATGACATGTCCGGCCGGCCCGCCAGTGGGTGAGGCGTGCGACGTGCGGAGTCTGAATAATGTATCCAAAATGAAGTAAGCAGTGCTTGCTACGTACAATTCGGCATCGGGATACCAGACGGAGTAGGTAGTTAGATACATAGGATAGTTAGGTATCTAGCTGTCCACTCCGTTCGGTGAGGCTTTTGAGGCTTTTGAGGCTTCCCCCCCGCCCCTCGACCCCCGCCCCCGGTTGATGGGGTCGCTGGGGATTCGCCATCACATAAACGCGACGGCGCTGGCGGCGATGGAGAGTTCCGTCTCCACTCCACATCGCTTCGATTAGTGCAGATTCAGGTGCAGGCGCACCATTTATGTTGGTAGTCTATATACTCTACATAGGGGGAATCCCCGCATCGTTGTTGTCAGTCGATTCGGCCCGATGGAAACGCCGACCATCCGACGACGGCCGGTGACGGTGAGGCGAATATTCAAGGCTCCACTGCTCACGAGGATTGTATGTACTAGCCGCCCCCCCCCCCCCCCCCCCGGAGTACATAGGCGTTGCCAGCATGCAGCAGCAGCAGCTGTTGCCAGCACCGAGTTGATTTTACGTTACTGGAGATTGAACCCCCGGCAACGGCATCGTAACGATATCCCAGGTCAAGGCTTGGGCTTGGGCTTGGGCGGAGCTCGTTAGCCGAGAACCCTGATTCTCCGCGTGATCCCCTGCGGTGATTCGTGATCGTCTGGTCGGCGAGTCGCGGCGGCGATTGACACCGCTGGAGCTACTACCTATTTGACGGAGTGGCTCTATGTAAATGGTAGAAACCCACGCAGCCCCACCGGCACAGTATTGAGTTCTGTCCATCTGCAAACAAGATGGCGAGTTCAGATAACGTACTGTACTATCCCTTGGGTGGCAAGTCCAGGGCGGGGTACTACGTACAGTGATATGAGCGTGTGTGATATGCTTTAGCGCCTGAGCTTCAACATAATCACACCGAGTGATATCAAAAACATCAACATCCCCTAACACCCAGTTTCGCAGCAGTGAGTGCTCCTGCCCAATAATCTCCCCATCACCCTCAGCCACTTCACCTGTGAGTCTGAGACGGTTTTGGGACATCGGAGTCTTGGTAGTTATCCAGTATAAACTAAAAGTCAGAGATTTCGACGATTCACAGCAGAATAATCTTAAGGTGTGAGACTGCAACGAGTTCGGGTCGTCGGAGTCTATGGTGATATCGAGTAAAGGATAAAAGTCGAAAATTTCGATGATTCACAACGGAATAATCTTAAGGGTGTTTCTTCGATGGTTGTTCGGTGCGATGATTTGTGTTCGGTTCGGTTGCCTGCTCAGTTCAACACTTATAGCCGTCCCGTTCCTGGGCACGTGATTCCTCTACAGTGCGGCCTGATGCGGCTCCGTTGCTTCCTTTGCATCAGATTTCCGTGGCCTAGCCTGGGGTCGTCAGCAGCTCTCTTCAGATAAACTTCTCGACTAAGCAGGTGGTAAACACCACGCGCCGAAGATAGATCGGAGTTCCCGAACAATTATCGTCCTCATGCACCGGCAGAGTTCTTCGCTCGAAGCTCCCTGCCCCCATAGGTCGATGTTAGATCCTGTCGTCATAACAGTTGTTCCCTGGATCGGAGTTCCTACTGCGGGGCCCTGTGAACAGAGATTTGAAAGTCCTCTGGACTCTTACCCCGCTCACACGCATGTTGTGACAGCGCGGTCGGGCAAGGCTCCAGGTAGCGAAGCCGGGCTGAGGATCGGGTCCTGGGTTCGGTAGAGGCAAGACAGGTTCAGGGGACAAGGTGAGGCAGGGCTCAGTGCAGACGGCAACTGAGAACAGAGGCAGGGACAAGAACTACGGCGCAGACGGCAGCCGAGGCAAGGACAGAGGTAACAGTGGTTGAATTAACAAGTTGTTGCGTGAAGAACTAAATACAGAGGCGCAATGGCCCGTTTATATAGGAAATCCTCCACTTCTTCCCGCAACCTGACAATAACCGTCGGCGTGTGCCAGACCCTGAGAAATCCACCTTGCCAGTACCCCACTTCCGTGACTCATACCCTGCGCAGCCGGACTACCCCTGCTTCCTGCACACAGCCCCAATCTCCTGCGACTCATCACTGCGCTATCCCTGCTCCCTGTACACAGCCCCCAATCCTCTGCGACTCATGCTTGCACTGCCGGTGCACTGCCTCTGCACTGCCCCCCAACTTTCCCGATCCTTGTGCCGACCCTCCCTTCGTCATTCCGTCGCGAGCCGTGACACATCTCCGATCACTGTCTAGAGGCTGGAATCTGTTTGCTTTTCGCCTTCCTAACTTGTCCTCCATCGCTTCTAACTATCCCTTCGGCTCTCAACTTTATTCTAATCACCCAGACTATCTAAACACATCTCTTGCGACCGTCTTGATTCCCGATACCTATCGGGGTGTCACACCATCTCCCCTCCCATGAGGCGTCGGCCCGAAGCACCCAAGTCCTCGCCTTTATCCTAACCTGATAACTGTGGAT